GAGCTATAAGTTCTAAATTTCATTGGCCACATCTACACTATAGGCTTTTGTCAGAATAGTTATGTCAGCGGTGTTGAGAGGTGTGATCCCTTCCGTAACCAATATAACTGTGCTGACAGAAGCCACTGGTGATGCAGTTATATCCACAAATGTTCACTTTCACAATTACAGCTTTTTCACTTCGGGCTAGTGGAATAAGGTATACAGGTAAAAGCACAGCTTTACCAGAGAAGCTCTCCTAGCATTGATGCAATTTAGATTGGCATAAAATACTGGTATTCCCATACTGATAAAGTGTTCCTGGTATAGATGTGGCTTTAGTGTAGATAAGGCCAATGGGTGGATGGAAGAGGGGGAAGGAAATGTCATTGATATGGTAAATCTGAAATAGGACTATGCTTAATCAATACAGTGTGAAGATTATTATAAAAGAATAGAGATTCTTTCCAGATGAAAAAGACCCTGACACTGGCTTCCCCTCCCAAACAGAATCCAGGGTACATAAGATGTCCTTGACAGTTCCCTCTCTCCTCCTGGCACGTGTGATGTTCCACATACATTAAGTAAAAATAAATAAATAAAAATTGAGCACTCTCTTTACCTTTTCGTTGTTCTGTGCAGTGTCTCTTTTCTGTCAGCGTTTAGTGGGCAAGGGACCACGTCTAGGAAGTTTTAACTACTAACCAATAAAACGTTATTTGACTTGGCATACATTCATTGTGAATTAAGGTGCTATAATTCTACTGAGGTGTGTTTGTCATTGCATCACAGGAGTGAAATGAGTGTTATATATTCACCAAAACAGATTGTTAGTTGGCATTTGCTTTTTGCTTATGGCTCAACCTCAGATCCATGCTCTTCTGCTATCTGTTCTGTGATGTGTTACTGCTGTCCTCCGTCCCTGCCTTTCAGTGTCATTTGACCAGTGGCCACATTTTTACTGCCAGCAGAGCCCTTCCCCGCCTACTCTGGTGCTTCTCCATCCAAGATGAACAGTGGGTTTTGCCACTCCAGTGTTTATTGATTAAATGATTCTGAGCTATATTTGCATGGACTGGTGCCTGTTCATTTAAAACATTCCAGAACTGGGCATTCTTAGACATATCGTGAGACTGTTCTTTAGCATCATTTGTCATACAAAGATGTGTGTTACTTGTTCCTTACTGACAAAGTGGGAGAACAACATTCACATAAGTAGAACTGTGTGGGATGGGAGTGGAAAGATGCAGAGCTCTGATTTCAGACTGTCATCTTACATAATTAGTCGGTCTCAAATAAGTAAAATCAGGTCATCTAAGCAAAGCTGTGAAAGAAACAATATAGATCACACAAAGAACTAAGTGGTTTATAGCTTCTAGAAAGCATACATCAGATGGGTGTGTTAGAGAGACAGGAAGGAGAGGGGGGAGAAATTGGAAACTTACGTAAGGCAAGGTAGCAGTGGGAGCTCTTGCTGCTAAAAAGCAGCAACTTGTTTGTTGAAGTTGTGAAATCCATAAATGTGAACATTGAACTCCTGGCAGAAGCTGCAGTGTTCTCTTCCATGATTCGGATATAACAATACCATGAGACTAATGATCTCTGTTGTTAGTATTGCCTCTGATATGTTATCACTGAATTAAGGAAAGAAACAAGGTCAACTGCATTTATTTAGTCAGCAAGAAAAGATTTGTCAGCTAAGGTACTTGAAGGATTACTGGACTATTTTCAGTGGAGAGAGCGAAGATTAAGCATTTAATCTGTGCTGCCCTAAAAAACTGGCAGCAGGAGGTTGAGTGTGCTGGCTGACTTCCATGTGTTTCTTAATCTATTCATTTATCAATTTTATTTTGCCTAGTTTAGTATGATGCTTTCTTATTTCACAACCTGGAGAGGAAAAGTTAAAAATAAATCTGTGATCTAAGACCAGAGTGTTTACATTGTAAAGTATAAATAATACATACAAATGTTGTATATTGTGACCAATGTCACTAGTCTTGTTCATACAGCCTGTCTTCAGAGAAGAGTAATATGCAGGAGTGCAATTTGTTTTCAAGGCCTGAGTATTCAGGGGCAAATTGGACCCCTATTCTGCAACAAGATCCCTGGATTTGGCAGCACTCAGGGGTTTGATTTGCCCAGTTTTATGTTCTATAATTCCTTCTGGAATAAACTGCATCAGAATTGAAGGGAGAAATCTTTTGTATTACCACTGCACATGGCATATTATTACTGAGAATAAAGTAAAATATAAAGTTCCTTAGTATTCTAGCCTCTGATGTTCCTGGGTAGGAAGCTGGGAAAGTTTGAGATCTATTTATGACCTGTTCACTAAACCTTAATTATGAATGATGTACAACTTCATCTAGCTGTTGATTCTGCCAGTTGCAGGTGAGTAAAGGTCCCTTCCTAGAGTGCCTGTATTCATGCATACACAACTGCCCCGGAAAGCACGTGGGGTTTGAAAATCCACAACATTCTCCCTCTGTAGTATGGAAAATGTTTGGAATCTTATGAAGATTTAGGCAATGGTTTATCCTGTGATAGTGACATTTACTTTGTTTAAATAACTTACACTGTATTAGTATTGTAAGACTAAAGCAAGAAAAGAATAGTTTCCTAAAACTAAATCTTTCATGTTAAGAGATTAGTGGGACTATTCACAAAGGCAACCTATAAGGGAAGAGGAGAAATGGAAGTTAATGTATAATGTCAGCGTTACTCAAATCTGCTCCTTTTTGGAAAATATTTTGATCTGTAGACTTAAATTCTAGATTAATACCTCACTTACTACTGTCTCTTCCCTTAGTTTGTTCTAAAACTGTTGACAACTGCTCATTTCTACACCAAGTCAAACAAGGCCGTTGAGTCAAAACAATTAACATTTGTTCCTGTATAACATTTTATGCTATAACATTTTCTTTTCAATCAGGTGAAAATGAAATCCTTGAAACTCTACACAATATTGCAAACAAGAACAAAATCTGGAGGTCCTACATTGGCATGGGTTATTACAACTGCTCAGTACCTCAGGCCATCGTGCGGAATTTGTTGGAGAATGCAGGATGGTAATGTATATCACTTCCTGATTACAAGCATAGAAATATTTCATATATATTGTTCTTTTTATAAGTGTGATTCATAAACAAAGATATACAACAACACTGCTGTTTGCCAAGACATTCCCATTCTTGATACAGGTGATGTGCTGGTCAGATTGAAACTTGATTAAGGGAATCATAAAAATTGTCATCCTGGCTTTAGCAGGAGTTTAATCCATAATGTGGCAGTAGAAAGGTATTGTAACTTATTTTTTCACGAATAGAGCATCTCCTTAGTTTGAAAGATCTGGTGCCTAATGCAGACTATTAGCTAAACAGGTGGCATTAAAGAAATAAGGTTACTCGAGTCAAGATGAATGTTATGAGTGGAAAGTTCACACTTCTTGTTCACTTAACCCATACTTTGACATGAATAGAAACATTCATAAGTTCAATTACTTTGAGAAAAATATAAAGAAAGACCCCAGATTAAAATAATTTTATGTTCTGCCCAAAATTTAAGCTTTGAGGTTCAAAATACTTATTCTCACTGGCATCTGCAGTTCCTGGTGGATATATCTGACTCATGAGAAACAATGATGGTTTTGTACTGACTGGAAGGAAGTAGAAAGCTGCAGAAATCTTTAGCCCATGAGATTTCTCTAACTCAGTTTTTCAAACCAAGAAGCTTAAATGTCTTGAATACAGAGTCAGAATTTGGGTGCTTCTCTTTGTTTAGCAGTTACTGAAGTAGATGAATAAATTAAGTTTACCCACTGTTAAGAATTTTTAGATGCACTGAGTGTCTCATTCAGTGTATTCTCAGGAGCATTGCTGTTGCATGAGCTCTATCTGGAAAGCTTTAGAGTATTGTCAGTCAAACTAGAACTTGACTTATTTTTCAAGAATCTGAAGAGGATAAATTTCCTTTAGTTACTTCTTGGATTATCTTTATACCATGTGCTTCACTACGACAACAGTCGTGGCCCTTTACCTCTTTAAAGACATTTCCTGATGAAGACAGCATGGTCAAAATGTTAAATATTCCCCAACCACAAATTTGGACAGAATATTTAACATTCAAAATTAAAATATGGAAAAAGCTAGAGCATTAATGTGCCAATGCCAGCTGTAATTGTTGCCTCCATATCTCCACCCACTCTGCACAAAGACTGAAGACCATCCAATATTCTGACTCACCATCCATATGCACATCTGAAATCCCTTATTCCTAGATCAATGGTCCCCAAACTTTTCAGGCTCGCACCGCCTCCTTACCCCTGTCTGTGACCCCTGGGGCTGGGAGCAGGGTCGTGCCTTGGGGGTGAGGGACGCAGCCAGGGGTAAGAAGGCAGAAGCTGGGGCTGGGAGCGGAGCTGAAGGTCTGGGTGTGGAGCTACGTGGGCAGGGCTGGGAGTGGAGTGGCACTGGTTCTGGCTGGCACTCTCTCTCCACCCCCCTGTGGGGGCTGGCCTGGGCACCGTCATGCCCCATGGATTTTCCTATGCAGCCCCCTAGGGGGGCACACCACACACAGAGTTTTTGGGACCTCTGCCATAAATATTCTCTCCTCCCTTTCTGTACAGAAGTGAAGACCTCAACTTAAGTCTTCACCGCCAAATCAACTTTGTCTTACATAAAAGCAAAGTTTTTTAAAAAGGTAGAGAAGACAGTGCTTCCGATTTAAAAAAAAAAAAATTAAGTAGAATATAAGCACAGCTAAACTAGTCACTGTAAAAAGCATTGGTAACTAAGTTCTAAGCTTGATTTGTGGAGTGTTCGTTAAGGACTGAAAACATTATGTTCATTCTCAGCCATCTGAGATCCCTTTCTGGGATGCTGAAAAACTGGCTGGCTGAGAATAAACGTAAGGTTTTAACCCTGCTTAATCATTGTTCCACACAACTAAGAAGTCTGTGCCAGGCTGGGTCTCTTTGCTTTACTTAAACATCAGGTATCTCTGCCCTCTCCCAAATTGCACCTTTTTGTATTGTTATATACTACATCTAACACAAGGCTAGATTTGTCTTGTCCCAGTCATCATCCTGCAGCATTTGCAACCTAAATATTTCAGCACTGAGCTGGTGTGCAAATATTAAAAGTGGATAGAAACTCTCCAATGAAATGCAAAAAAAGTCAGACAGCAAGTGGATTTATAGATTAGATTCCAAGTCCAGAAGGGACCATTGTGATCATCTAGTCTGAGTGCTTGTATAAACTCAGGCCATAGAAGTTTGCCAGGATAATTTCTACATCATATCTCTTAGCAAAACATCCAATTTTTATTTTAGAAAGTAACCAGTGATGGAAAATCCACCACGACCCTTGCTAAAATTTCCAGTGGTTAATTACCCTCACTGTCAAAAATTTATATATTTTTTCCAGTCTGAATTTGTCTGTCTTCATCTTCCAGCCATTGGATTGTGTTATACCTTTCCCAGCTAGACTGAAGAGCCCATTATTAAATATTTGTTTCCCATGTAGATGCTTAAACTGTAATCAAGTCACCCTTGCATAAAAGTAAACTTTTAAAAAATGTTTTAATAACGTAGTGTTGGTAAAACAGTTAAGGAAAACATTTTTGGAATGCCCTTTTTTTAAAAAGCACATCTTAGCACACAAAAGCCTAAGCTTTTGATTCCTAGGATGATGTTTTATGCTGGAGTGCAAAAAGCCATTATAAATCTCTGCAAAATTTATGGTTTTAAGAAATCAAACTTCTCTAGCAAGTCTTGAATTTTAAATGCTAGGTGTTGAAATATTGCAACCCCAGGTTTTATAGTCTAGTATTTCCCATGACGCTGTGCTTACCTTTTCTGCTCAGTTATGCACCATGACATAGCTCTTTCCTTCCCAACTTCCAAGTATCCTAATACAGAAGATATGCACACTTTAGGATTTTTTTTTTTTTAATATTGAAATATAGCATGGCCCTGGAAAGTGGGTTAGGGTAGAAAGGAATTGTTCACTTGACGTGGGTACATCTCAGTTTGAGACATATGGCCAATGCAGAGTCTTCTGTTAAAAGAACTGGGTGTGGCACTGTGAGGAAGTGAGGGGGAAGGGATTAAGGGTTTTCATTTAGCAGAGAGTGTTTTTCAGATGGGAATATTGTATGTTTTTAGAAGATTTGCTAGAGAACAGTCTTCCAGGGAAGTTAGAGCTTCTAGGAAAATAAGCATCTCTGTAGGAGTCTCAGAACAAGCTGTCTTATCCAGACAATGGTGAACAACAACTTTGTTTCACGATGAAAGACTAAATAGCTTAAATATTTTTAAATGAAAATTGTCAGAACAAGGTTACGCATTAGTCCTTATAAATGCCTGAAGTTTGAACACATAAATAGCGGCTGTTTGAGTTAGTTTCAAGAAAAGTGCTTGTTTTTGAAGTCTGAAATATGTTATGATTTCTGTACTCTAAAAGTCACCTTGATCAATCTGCTTCAAAAATTAAACTTATAAAAAAAATATTTGAGACAAGATGAGAATTCAGTCGAAAAGGCGGCTTACTTTTTTGGGATGGGGAGGGGGCGGTCAAAGTTAGTAAGCAATGAGAGTCTTAAGGTTGTAATCTCCAATCCATTCTAAATGATGGATTTTTCTACCAGGCAACTCCATTAGGCAAAAACTTGTTCGATTTTTTTCAGGATATACACTATATCAATTACTTGATTTCCTTTTTCTCCAGTTACATAGGAATTGTATATAGTTACAGGCTGCTTGCAAGCTCTAATGACACTTTCACTCTTAACACGTTTCATAGGAAAGCGTGGGGGTGGGGGGGGGTTAGGTTTCATTTTATCATTGAGAGGACATTCCGTTTTGTGGTATTAGCATAGTTAGCTCTTGAGGTCTGGAGACAGAACCAAGTGGCCTGCTATTTTTAAAACCCATTTAGTCTTTGTGTACAACAGATTTATAGCAGCTCATATCTCTGAAATCTATACAAGACTTTTCCTGGTGGGTCACTGCAAAATATTGGCCGTTTTATAAAGCATTGGCTAATCAGTATTTTTACTTTTAAAAAAAAGTTTCTATTCTCTGGGTATTCAACATTACCTGCCTCAAAACCCTGTAGTATGGTGTAAACTGCACAGCAGAGCAGGACTGCATAAACACTGCACATTTATGTGCACATGATTCCTGATAGTCTTCACATTATCATTGTGTTGAACTGTTTCCCTAGAAACAGAGCTAATTAATTCCTGTGACGTGACATGAATGTAAACTAATCACCAAAGACTACAAAATATTTGGTTTTATAAATAAGATTACAACAAGTCTAGACTTAATCGTGTTCATCTTCGTGTTAGTATTTAGAGTAATATTCATTGTCTATATCACAATGTTCGAGACTGAGTCATTTGACTTTTGTGCACTTTGGCTACAAAATTGCACTTTATAAGAATAAGGCTCATTTAAAAAAAAAGTATATATGAGGTTGAAGGCAACAAGAGTGCATGCTCAGGAAAAACACACAAGCAAAAGGGTAAAATTTTCAAAGGGCCTTAGTCCCATTGACTCAACTGAAATTTGGCTCTAAAGTCACTTAGGTACTCTTGAAACCCAGTATGTTATCACAATCAATGGGATTCTATGCTGAGTATACTTGAGTAACTTGTTTAAAGCAACTTCAGTGTTTTTTGGGGGTGGGGGGGAACAATGCTCTTTTCATGAGCTCTGTATGTTGATGGGTGCTGTGCTTAGTGCATGGCAACACTAGGTTATGGATGTGCAGTAAAAATCCCTGTGGTTTAGTTTACATGGGTTGGGAAGGCACTGTTAATGAGGCCAAAATGTGGTTCAACCAAGTGGGGATCCTTAATAGAGCTTCAGATGGACCCATAAAAATATTTCAGGACCAGTGTAATTTTTTTAAGCACTGAAAGGAAAAAATATAGTATGCAACCATATAATTAAAGACTGTATCATCATGCATATGCATAAGGGGGAAGAATGAAGGTTACACAAGTAAACTTAAATCTGGCATTTCTGAACATTTGAGTGTTTAACTCTGCAACCTTAAAGTTCAACATAATTGTGTCTGTAATACTTAGAATATTCTGCATGTGTGTTTATCAGACAGACATTCATTGTGTCGTCTTTATGCCTTAATTTATGTAGACAAATATTGCTGTCTATATTACATATAACACTTATTGCCACAATCTTGATTTTATTTAATAGTGAACATGATACTCAAAATGAAAAAAGCCAGATAATTCAAAAAATTTAAATACTGGGAGTCTTGGCTTTCTATTATAAAGCAGATTATCTCTCACCTTGTGTGTCATGAAGATATCGGTCACAAATCCTGGTAGGAGTGGTGGGGTTCTGGTAACTTTAATATCCTCATTTTTAAAGGTGCTGTGACTTTTTACCCATTAAGATTTCAAAATGAATGCTCTGTATCCCTGGGAATCCATACATCGTAGCGGTAGATAGTGTATATTTCTAGCCCTGGTGGCACATGAGATTGGATTCTGAAATTTCAAGGTCCCTCCCAGCAGGGAAGAAAATAATTAGCACTGATCCATGACTGGAAATAGTAATTCTTGGGCACATAATGTTCAGTGATACAGGCTAGAAAAAGCAAGACTATAGAAAGTATATTCTTGGACAGTCTTCCTAAGGCTTGCTGTATTCTCAAGAATCAGACTTCATATAAACCTTCAAGTGAGGGCAGGGGACTGGACCAGATGACCTTGAATCATAGGACTGGAAAGGACCTCGAGAGATCATACAGATGCTGGGTAAATCAACTTAACTGCTGTTTCATTAACCATTTGGAAAAAAAATACAGTAGCACTAAATGAAAACACTAGATAAGTTCTTAGACCTTGTAAACAACATTAAATATATACATAACTATTTTCTAAAAGTACTGAACAATTTATTGTATTTTTGAAAGATTTTAAAATAGAGTTGTGTGTCTTTGTGGAATCTGCCATTTCATCAATACTTCCCAGCAGAGATCTAGTTTGAGGCAAAGTAGAACCAAAAGAGTTGGCTTTGGAAGCAATAAAAATTATTTTCAGAATTGTAATAAGGACTCTAATTCATTAACAAAAATAAAATATGCCTGTCTTTGAAACATTCTGATTTCCACTACTTTCTAAGCCAGTTCTTTTGGTCAGTAGCCCAAGCTTTGACTAGGAAACCCAGGTTTTCAGCCAATGTCTGCCTGCCCTGCTTCAGGGATAGTTACTGCTATTTCACAATTCTTTTAAGCTTGTTTCTTGCGAGGCATGTGTAGGGTATGTCTGCACAGCAAAGAAAAAAGCACAGGGTGGGAGGGTCCCAGAGCCTGGAAGTCTATACAGCAGTGAAATAGTCCTGCAGCACGAGCCCCATAAGCTCGAGTTGCCTGGCACGGGCCACCCGTGGGTTTTTCTTTGCTATGTTGACATACCCTTAGAGTGCACCTTCAGAACTTTCAACAACATCTTAGAGCTTATAGTCATACAGATGAACAAGTCTAAGCACAGTGACAGAAAAACAAGCATAGAGAAGCAGAGAAAAATCCATACTCATTACACATACTATTTCTAGTTTTAACTTAAGACTTCTTTGTATTTTTTTCTTTAAGAGAAAGTACTGAACTTGTCTCCAGACAGCTCTAAAACATACTGGCTTGTTTAAGTAAAAAAATCTCCTTGCCACTCGGAGTGCTTCCTTTAAATCACAGCCAGACTGCAGAAATTTAGTTTGGGAATGTTAACTTGTAGAAACTCCCTTTGATCAGAAAAGACAGTGAGTGAGGGCCATATGTTTTCCTCCAATTTATTTGCACAGGAGCCTGTTTGTGTTCCTGGTCATTATGCTAATCATTCCTTTTAATTTGATTTATTGTAGTTGCTATTATGCAGATATACTACTGTCAAAGTTCCTTTAGTAGGAACCCAATTTTATCTATGACAAAATTGCTGTATAAAAACTTCAAATATTTGCCTTGTTAATACAAAACAGATTTCAGGGAAATTCCTACAAATCTGATTCCCTGGATCTCAAAAAAAAAAAAAAAAACACTTTATTTGAACTAATGATTTGAAGTTAGAATTGTTAAAGTCCAGGATTTTGGCAGTGTCTGTGACCATATTCCAGGGTGAACTAGCCTTCAAAATGAACTTTGTTAAAACAAACTCCTTTGTGTTTTAGCGTAGAATAAGTGGTTATACAACGTACAGGAGAACTGTTGAACTTCTGTACTAACATGGAGTTAGTACAGAACTTCCTTGACTTCTGTGGTGTGTGTATAAACTTTGTCTCATTAGCAGAACTAATTAAAACTGTTTTGTTGTAAATTATTTTTGCAATTCAAAGTCAGAACATGGATATCGCTAAGCTGTATTAGTGATTATGTCCAGTTCTGCAGTATTGTCTGTCACATGCATCAAACCTTATTGTAAGCCATACCAGCAGGGAGCAGAATTGGGAAGCCCTAAGATGATAAATTCCTTACTGAGAAACTTCAACACAGGTTGTATGTACAACAGGGCAAATGTCTCGAATATGAAAATTACTACCAGACATCATTCCAAATGGAAAAATGTTTAACTGTTTTCTTGAAAGTATTTGCTTTCTGTTGTGTGTTGGGATACTGAAAAATACCTTCAGCTTCCTTGACATCTGTTTAGAGCTGCATATTCTGAACCTTTCATTGTAACTTTGATCTCTTCCCATTTATCTCTACTTCAATGTATTAAAGTATCCTATGGAAATAAGAAAGTGGTTACTTTTCAATATAACCGTGGTTTCTTTTGTATAGTGTTTTTCCTGTCCATGAAACACTAGCTTACTGTGAGGGGCAAACAATGGTATCTAGAACTTTCCCGCCCCTCCATCTCAATCAGGCTATAAGGAAAACCAAACAACTGCTTAAAATCCCCCTACCCTTCCCAACTCCAATTTTTTCCTCATGGTTGCTTTAAAATAGGTTTCCATCAGAGTTCAGTTTTGATAAATACTCTGAAAAGGTTTTTAAATTGTGAATCTGTTTAACTCCTTTTTGAGTTCCTGAAGAAGGAAAACTTGGTTTAGCAATATAGACTTTTTCCAGAATTTTAATTTAGAAGGGAGAAGCTGTATCTTTTTCTCGTGCATTGTGTGGTTTATTTTTGGTGCTTTCAGAGACTATTGCATTTTTGACCGCAGATGCGGTCAGAGTCCTCAGCAGTGTTGCATCCTTGTTCAGAGAAGAATCTTAATCTATCTCTCGGTGCATACTGTATTTCTTTTGCAGTGCGAACTCTGGAGTATCTCAAATCCTGGACTGTACAACTTCAAACATAAATAGTATTAAAGCTACTGAATTGATTTCCCCCTACCCGGACTTGATTTATTTGTGGATCTCATTGAGACTTCAAGATCAAACCAATTCTGAAGGTTACATACTATGATGTAACCTACTTTATGTAAGGCTATTTGAGATTCCAGTCAGTTGTGTTTCTCCCCCATCATAATTTATTGTACCTGACAAATTTTGATTTTTCAAGAGACTATATATTTTAAGGGTTTACCATTAAGGCTGAGCTTGTAGACTTAACCCTAGTTGACTTTTCAACCCTTATTTTGCATTAAACACTAGAGTTTTTTTGAGTGGGATTTCTTCCATTAAAAAGGAAGACTGACAATTGCCCGTGAATTGGTAAATTCCTTGATGTGAAACTGAATGAGCTGGATACCAGCTGCCACAATGAGCAGTTTATTACAGAGCCAACTTCTTCATAGCACCCCAGTATTCTGAACCATTATAGCTTTGGAGTAGCCATTAAGGGGATAGTAAAGTTTGTTTGCACACTTGTATACTTCATAAAGTTATGTAGTCAGACAAATATTTTAGGCTTAGATTTTTAAATGTCTTGACCATTTCAATAATGTATTGGCTGCAAACATCAGATTTCTAAAAGCAGATTGGTTAAAAGCACAACACCAAAATGTTGAACTTGTATTAGATCTAAATATTTTATGACCCGATAGACTTTCTCCACCCCTCAGTTGCTGAGAATTAAGTTCTGTTGACCCAACCAGAAGTGTTAGCTCCTTTGCCTCTGTAATTACAGATAAATATTCTAATAATTTCATGATCTCAAAAATAGTAAATTTTAACTTAAATTCTGTTCAAAATGAGAAAAAAAGTCTATTTGCCAAGTAAAGAACCAAATTAATATTGGCGGGATAAATGTTCTCAACTTCTATGCTCTTAATACCCTCCTGGAACAACTAAAACACTTTAGTGTGCTTTTGAACAGATTTCCCTGTTTATATTCATGTAAAATAGTGGGGCGGGGGAGGGGGGAGGGAGGAAGAGAAATACTTTGTTTAAATCCATTTGCAAAGAAGCGCTAGTGACCTGATATATAAAATGTGTTTATTTAACAGGGTTACCCAGTATACCCCTTACCAACCTGAGGTTTCCCAGGGTAGACTGGAGAGCCTGTTAAATTACCAGACTATGGTGTGTGACATCACAGGAATGGATGTGGCCAATGCATCTTTACTGGATGAGGGGACTGCTGCAGCAGAGGCTATGCAACTATGTCACAGGTAACGCACGCAAATGGATTGCAAATTTAGACTCAAGAAAGAATTGTGAGGTGTTTTGCTTTATTTCCTTATGTGGGACTGAATGGTTCAGTGGACTAAAAATGACACTGTACCTCACAGTGAATCAGTCTTCTGGAGTGCTAGTCTAGTGTTTTCCACAAACACAAAATTAACTGTATATAATACTTCTTACTTTGCATTTATGAATTACATTTCTCAGAATTCAGAACATTCTCAGTGTGAAATATGTATTATAATAAAAACATGTGTATGTGGGTGAGAGAAGCAACTGTTCCATTGTAGACTGTTCTTGAGTTTTAGTTTGTTCCCTGATCCACTTAACCTTTTTTCCCCTTCTTTTAAACAGGCACAACAAGAGGAGAAAGTTCTATGTTGATGTCCGATGCCACCCTCAAACGATAGCAGTAGTCCAAACTAGAGCAAAGTAATGCCAATCTCCATCTTGCTTAATAAGTAGCACAAGCAAGCACATGAAATATTTTACCATCACACCTCTTATTCTATACTGATCAAAGATTGAATATTACAAGTACAACACTGATTATGTTGATAAATAGGCGTGCTTTGGGAAATGTAAGAGAACCTACAGTACTAGTTTGGGGACTGACTTTGGCTATACTGTAAGTATTTTATGATACTGAGGATTTCCCCTAGGATAATTCATGCAAACCTTGTAAAATATTTCATTCATATCCAGTTTAGGGGCTGAACTAACTGATTAGATCCATTTCCAATAGCTAGTACCTAAATTTCTACCTTGTTTAGCTGCAGCTAAACATCTTGCTGGTTCAATATTGCATTAGTCTATGTAAAGCAAATACAGTAATTTTGTATGATGGATGCAATCTTGTTTGTAACTAACTTATCTTCCAAATAAACAGACGTGAATTAATTCACAATTTTTAAAATGGAGGTAAACGTATAGAAAGAAAATATTTCTCCTGTCTGCACTGTTAACATACCTGTGCACATCTGAGCATTGAACTCCATTTGAACATTCTCTTACCTAGCAAATTATGCATTACTTTGAAGGAAATCAGTAAGGTTTAGTGAAACAAACTCTTAATAAATTCATAGTTACACACAAAAATCCTATATTCAGAGAATGTAAATAGAAGTTGCAAAGCCAAGCCCTCCAAAGTTAGGAAATGCAAAATATAAGTTAGTTTTGCTCCCTTCGGCATATGCAATATGATGATCTTTACTTTCATGATCACATGCTATTTTTATGGCACAATATAGCTTTCACCACCATAGATGCTCGCACTTCCTTAACTGTGTAGCAGTGGGAAGCATGTTCTATCAGCTATACTTTAAGAAAAATTATTCCCTAGATCAGTGAAGAAGTCAAATCTGTTCAATGTTATCCCAAAGTATGAAATGGCTTCAATAATTTTTGCGTTCCATCTCTTGCTTTGCAGTTACAGTGGTGTTGTCATTGAGCTGAAATTGCCCCATGAGATGGATTTCAGTGGTAAAGATGTCAGTGGAGTGCTATTTCAGTACCCAGATACTGAGGGGAAGGTGGAAGACTTCACTGAACTAGTTGAAAGAGCCCGTCAAAATGGGGTAAGATTAAGTAGTATCGTTGTTGTCCCGTCCCCCCTCCCCGACTAGTTCTGATGTTTAACTCGGCTATAACTGTAGGCATTGTAATTTTCTTTATAGATGATGTACAGAGCAAAGACTACTTTTAGGCTTCAGTTTCACATGAATGCTATAAAACAGTTTGAAATAGAATCTTGATTCCCCAAATTGATACACTGTGTATGCTTTCAGAGACGAGGCTAACAACTCTATGCTCTTACGTTTTCAGACTCTTGTCTGCTGTGCTACTGACCTCTTGGCTCTGTGTATTTTGAGGCCTCCAGGAGAGTTTGGGGTGGATGTTGCTCTGGGTAGCTCCCAGAGGTTTGGGGTACCACTCTGTTATGGGGGACCACATGCTGCCTTCTTTGCTGTCAAAGAAAACCTGGTGAGAATGATGCCTGGGAGAATGGTTGGAGTTACAAGGTAAAGTTGGGACATTTTTCTTTAATTTGTCAGCTCGAAATGTCTGATATGGCTCCCCAAATCATAGTATCTAAGCACCTCGTAATCTTTAATAAACTTATCCTTACAACGGCTCTTTCAGGTAGAGAAAATACAATTACAGCTCTACCCCGATATAATGTGACCCGATATAACACAAATTCTGATATAACACAAATTCTGATATAACACGGTAAAGCAGTGCTCCAGGGGGGCGGGGCTGCGCACTCTGGCGGATCAAAGCAAGTTCGATATAACACAGTTTCGCCTGTAACGCGGTACGATTTTTTTGGCTCCCGAGGACAGCGTTATATCGAGGTAGAGGTGTATCTTCATTTTATATATGGTGAGCTGTGACACAGACTAAGTGACATGCCCAAGGTCACACAGCACACTTCCGCCCACCCACTTCCTGGATCCCAATAGGTGTCAAGGCTCTATTGCGGAACTAAACCTGGGTCCCCCAGTCCAGTGTCCTTACTATTCCACTATTCTTCTCATAAATTAGGAGAATGAAGCATGGTTGAAATTTCCCCAAGATTATAATAAAAAAAAATTGGGTAAAGTAAAACACTGTTTACAGAGAAAACTTGAGAGAATGAAATTCTCCACTGAGAGAACTCAGAAGCAGAAGTATCTACGTTCGTTTCTATTAAAGATGTGGGGCCTGTGGGCAATAGTTTAAAAGCTCAATAATTTTGATTTAAAAAAAATAAAAAATTGGTGGCCAGGAGAGCTGTCCTCATGTGAGTCTGAGGTCCCCCACTGAAGGGACATCTCACTTTGTGGGACATGCAGGCCATCTGAATTAGCAGTATTTCACATACTTTACTAATTTTGAGCTTACCAGACTTTCAAATGTTTATCTGAACCCTTACTGAGATTCACTCCTCACTACCATAAACTTCAGGAAGCAGACAGAAAATTCAGAAAACCTGTTGAGGTATCAAGAAATTTAAGTGAAGGAAACTTGAACTACATAATGCAGTGAAGGTGGGGAAACTCTTAATGACTGGGGGGGGAGGGGGGAAGGAGGAGGGAAAACACTGAACAAAATACCTGTTTTATACCCAGTATAGTAGTGTTTTGGAATATTGAGAACACGCTTAATGGAATACACTATAACTGTCAGTTAAAAATTGTACATATTGGAACAAAAACCCTACACATGCTTCTGAAACTATACAACTTCTGAAATTAATAGGTTTTGTACTTACCACTAGCATGTTTATGAACATTTTTTTTTCTTTCTTACATTGCTTCTCACATTTATCCCAAAGAACAATATGCTTGGTGTGACACTGCACTCACCTCTCGTGAGCGCCTCCTGTTGGGCCGTGTGCAATCCTGCACTCCTTTCTTTTCCTGCATCCCCTGTCATCCTCATCAGGCAGGTCTTCAGTGGCTCAGCCCTTTGGCCAAGTCTCACACAAACACATGAAGGAACCCCTTCCAGGGTAACAAAGGTCCAACAAGGACTATTGCTTTTCCCATGTTGGTGTCTGCAGTCCTGTCTCTGGGCTCAGTTCCCAGCCCCTTCTGGGCTAGCTTTAAGTCCATCCCTGCCCTGTTATAGAGCAGTGCCCCAGGGCTTCATCACTGGAGACTTTGTTCTCAGAGGTTCTCACTGACCCAGCTGTCTAGCCGGGTCACCTATCACATTCAATCCCCTTCCAGGGGAGTAACAAAGTTCAACAAATGGTTGGCCCTTTCTAGGGTCTTCAGCCCCATCCTTGAGCCCTTTAAATTCTAGCCCCTTTCTTGGGTTTCTAAACAACACTTGTCCCCTCTTTGGGGATTTGGCCACTCTGCCAGTGGCAGGGGAGGTGGTAACCTGGGCTCACCCTCTAATCTGGATCCTGACCCAGGGACCCTACAAATAGCAGCCACGTGCTGCTTCCTTTAATAATTGCTACTGCTGTTCCCTGGGCCACTTCCCACATAGTCCCTTCCACTTCACCCTTACCTCAGGGCTGAAATTCTTCCTGGCAGAATGTCAGTGTTACCAGAACCCATCTTCTGGTTCACTCTTGAACTCCATCAAGGAGCATATTCCGTGCAGCTGTGGTCACTGCCAGGCAATGATCTACTCAGGCCCTGCAGCTCTTTTTAACTGAGCCTGCTGGGCTTTGATTGGCTGCTTCCTTGCAGACTTTCTAGGCAGGCCAGGAGGACAGACCTTTACTACTCCCTTTTCTGGGGTGGGTTGTGGTAGGACTGCAAGGCTTCAGCAGGGGGCCTCAAAGGGCCCAGTACACCCTATCACATTTGGCATTAGACTTCAGAATCATGAATCAATCTTGTAGCACAGGGGTCGGCAACGTTTGGCATGCGGCTCGCCAGGGTAAGCACCTTGACGGGCCGGGCCAGTTTATTTACCTGCTGACGCGGCAGGTTCGGCCGATCGCGGCCCCCAATGGCCGCGGTTCGCCGTCCCGAGCCAATGGGGGCGGCGGGAAGCCACGGCCAGCACATCCCTCGCCCTGCCACTTCTCGCCACCCGCCCCCATTGGCCCGGGACGGCGAACCATGGCGATTGGGGGCCGCGATGGGCCGAACCTGCCATGTCAGCAGGTAAATAAACTGGCCCGGCTCGCCATGGTGCTTACCCTGGCAAGCCGCGTGCCAAACGTTGCCGACCCTTGTTGTAGCGTATCCTAGCATGCTTATTTCAAACTATAATCACTTTAAAGCGTTGTGTATCTCAGGGGGAAAGAATGTTCATTTTATTTACTAAAGCTATGTGATATTATAGTACTTTAGGGCATGCCTTACATTTTAAGTGTGTTCTCATCTCACACTGTGTCACTAGAACATTGTGGGTAAAAAAGTTAAAATGTAAAGTTATGGTCAGAACTACAATATTTCCCAAAGGCAATTTATGCTATGACCTTCAAATTGTTGTTGTTGTTTGCTGGAGGCCTTTTAATTGATGAAGGAACCAAGCTGTATAGTTGGAAACCCTGGGACAACTGCTGGATTCAATTGTCTTTATCTTGGACACCAGACAGCAGCTGAGCAAATATTGTTTGTGAATAGTTTAGTTTATCGAGTGCCCTGAAGTCTTAGAAATGTCTGGTCTGAAACATTTCATTTTATACAAGATTGTTGCTCTCAAGTTTTCCTCTCTAGTTCTGAAAGTCTTTAAATATTAGAAATTCTTTAAGAAATTAACTGAGCTGCACAGATTGATGGATTGGTACAGACACTTAGCATCATCTTGGGCTAGTATCAATGGATTACTCAACTAATATTACATGTATTAAACAGTACTTTAAGGTAGCAGGTATTACATATGCAGAGGGTTCCTTCTTTCTTGCAGTATCTGAACTGTGCCCCTAGGAGTGTTCAATTTAAAAATCTGTGGAAAATTTTTGTAGCCCTTGATAAACACCAGTGCTTTCATAAAACTATAAAAACAGTAAAATGTGATTATTTTTTTTCTTTCTTTCTACAGTACAGGATTAGGGAAGACTGGCTAGATTCTCTAAACTTCCCCTAAAGGCCGGGGCACTTGACAGATGTGATTTGGATAAATATAGAACTTTTGGATGTTTCAGAACCTTCTACTGACTATTGCTCAAAAAAATCTCCCAATCCAGAGTATCTGTCATTTGAGGGGTAGTGAGAAGGAAGTGGGCAGGTCTGGTTCCCTTTAGTGTTATCTTAAGTGTGTGTGTGTTTGTTTTCTGAACATGAACATCTGTTCAGGGATAGGCTAAGGTTTGGGTCACTTTTTACTTTACTCAGAATGGTTATCTATCACAGTTCTTCACCCTAAAGGAATTCCACCAGTTAGCTTCAAGTTAGCAAACTAAGCATAGCAGCTCAGCTAATGCAGAGCCTGTATCAACATAAACTAACAAAAGAAATACTTCCTTTTATGGTTCAGAGATGCAAATGGAAAGGAAGTATATCGGCTTGCATTGCAAACTCGAGAGCAGCATATTAGAAGGGACAAGGCGACCAGCAACATCTGTACAGCACAGGTGACCTCTATGTCAAAAATCTTCGTGTGTGTGTGAATTTTCAATCCTGTGAAACTTGGAATTTTTGCTTGGGAAAAAGAGGATCATCTTAATCTGTTTTCATTCAAAAAGTTAGTCTTGCAGCCACTTGTCATGGAGGGGGAACTCCACTGAGTAGTGTTGAGTTCCTATAAACTGGATGCTCTACTTTGGCAGACGTAGAATTTTAACACTCCTGAATGAAGAATTCTGCTTTGTATTTGTGCAGAAATAATAATCCCACTTTCCACAGGGTGGGTATCATCTTTTAAAAGGAGTTACACTAATGCCCACTTTCCCTATGCATATTTAGTAATGGTTTTAGCTTCTTTTCCTTATATGTACTTCCGTATATGTATAGGGCCGTCCCTAGCCATTTGGGTGCCCTACGCAGCCACCCTGCGGGGGGGCTGTGTGGGGCTCCAGGCCTTGCCCCCCAGGGTCCGGGAGGCAGGAGCTGTGGGGGGCACTTTGGGGGCCCCACAGGCTCAGAGTGGCCCAGGGGATTAGCGGGGGTCCGGGAGCAGCCTGCTCCGCTTCCCTCGCCTCGGCCCCAGCCGTGTCGCTTGGGGAAGGGGGCTTGGGGGAAGGGATCCCTCCCCTCCCCCCTCACTGGCAGCAGCGGGAAGTGGAGCAGCCCGGCCCCAGCCAGCTCCCAGCCGCGGCACTCCGCTTCCCGCCGCCGGTCAGTCCGGGGTGGGGTGGGGAAAGAACCTTTCCCTAACCCCACCCCAGCGACACGGCTGGGGCCGGGGCAAGGGAAGCAGCAAGTGTGGGGGGCATCCTTTCCCCAACCTCCCCACGCTCACCGGCGGCAGGAAGTGGAGCACCGCAGCTGGGAGCTGGCGGAGTGGAGCGGGCTGCGGCTGGGTTACTCTGCTCCGCCGCTGCCGGTGAGTGCGGGGTCGCTGGAGGAAGAGGTGGAATAGGGGTGGGCTGAGGGCAGAGTGGGGGGGAGGGTAAGAGGCGGGGCAGAGGGAGTTGTCCGGGGCCCCACACCCCCCTTAGGGATGGTCCTGCCTCTTGAAGAAGGCGCAGCCCGTGGATAGGGCTGGTGCTGCTGCATATGCAGCACGTAGCTGCCTAGGGCACCATAAAATTTGGGGGAATTTGGTGCCCCAAATTTCATGGTGCCCTACGCAGCTGCGTATGCTGCATATGCCTAAGGATGGCCCTGCTTCCACACTTAAATAATTTTGGGGTCCCTAATTTTGATAAGTCAATTTGCCATTTACGTTAGACTCATCAGCATTTATGTCAATTAGTTCCCCTGGTATATCTGTGGTTCGTGCATGTATTCAGTTAAGCTCAGCATCTTTTGAACTTTCCCTAAAATTCCAAAAGTATGTTCTTGTGGTCCCATACTATGGTTTTTCCCAGCATGTAACACTTTTGTTTTCAGGCATACTTATCTTGTGACTTATTCCTTATTCCCAAACATTCATGTCAAGCTAGGTCTTGGTTATACTAAGCTACTTGTCATACAGGCCAGAGGCCTTATAGGCCCATGCGTTACAGCCTTCTAATATCTATGTCTTTATGTATATATTAGAGAGACAAGGTGGATGAGGTAATTTTTTTTTTTTTTAATTGGACCCACATCTGTTGGAGAGAGAGAGACAAGCTCAAAAGTTTCTCTCCAACAGAAGTTGGTCCAATAAAATATATTACCTCACACCCCGTATCTCTCTCTGAGGTGATGGCACTGACACGGCTATAACACTATTTACCTGCACTGAATGTACGCCACGGTTAGTGTTTTGTATATAAAGATATTAACTAAGCCCAACACTACCACTATGATGTACATAGGCAAGTATTATTATTTTGGTTTTAGATTGGGAAACTGAGGAACAGAGGTTTGATTTGCTAGCCATTAATAGAGCCAAGACTCAAATCCTGGTCTCCCAACTACCAATATTGTGCTTTAGTAACTATACCATGTTGTGTCTCAAATAGAAATCTACAGGGAGTTTTAGCAATATCTGCAGAACTTTTATACATATGGCTGGCTACAAAGATTAAGCTTACAGTTCAGTGTTTTTTTTTTTTTTTTTTTTTTTTTTTTGTCACTGAACCACTTAAACAGCAAAGGCTCTTGAATTCATGAACAATGTTACTATTTAAAATTTTTGTAAATGCATAATTTAGCAAGAAAAAGATATGTAGCTTTCCTATTTCTTAACTTTGTAGATTACCTAGAACTAAGTGTTTACCTTTTATTGATAGCTTTTTTTTTTTTAATATTGTGGTTATATAGTTGCCTTGGGACACTAAAGAAGCTAGTTATACTAAACTGCCAGCAATCAACCTTATGTGATTGTTCCTAAAATATGTTTGGACATTTTAGGCTCTTCTGGCTAACATGGCTGCCATGTATGGAGTCTATCATGGTTCGAATGGATTAAAGCACATTGCAAGAAGGGTGCATAATGCCACTCTAATCTTAGCTGAAGGTGAGTATTCAGAAATTATAAAGGGGTAGATCTTACATGTTCACACCTCTTAAAAACACTGACCTTCCATTTTTTGTCCACCAATGGTTTTAAGTAGCAGAAGAAATCCAAAATTTCTGCACCAAGTGTACACCACTGGGGTCGTCATAATATTTAGTGTTTTGTATATAAAGGTATTAACTAAGCCCAACAGTACCACTATGATGTACATATGCAAGTATTATCATTTTGGTTTTAGACTGGGAAACTGAGGAACAGAGGTTTGACTTGCTAGCCATTAATAGAGCCAAGACTCATCCTAGTCTCCCAACTACCAATGTTGTGCTTTAGTAACTATACCATGCTGTCTCTCAAATAGAAATCTACAGGGAGTTTTGGCAATATCTGCAGAACTTCTTCAAAATCTGTAGAACTTTTTTGAAAGGGTTATGCTTTCCTACTATTACCTACCTGCCCATTTTATTAATCTATACTGGATGAGAAGACTCAGAGGTCACTAAAATATAGTTTAAATTTACAGATTAGATTAAATAGATTAGATGATCTGAAGTGAAGGCTGTTCAATTTAATCAAATTTATGTAGAACACCGCACTGCTATAAACACTGAAATCCCAAAACTTATTGGCTGACTGCATTATGAACATGACTTGTACTCTGATTATTAAGAACAACAGGAAACTTCTTGATTGTTCAAATCAAAAGGATATTAAAATATTTTATTATTTGAATCTCATCTAAAAATCTGCAGTTCTGTTTCTGTAGAATGTCTGCACTTAGGAGATAAATGCAGCACAGCTGGCTGGCTATATTGGCTGTATATGTCTGGTGCAACTATTGCTATTGATGTAGGCATTTAGGAGGTCATAACTGACCCTTCTGTAACTGATGCTGGCAGAAGATTTCAACTTGTAATAAGAGCAATGCACCCTATGAATTGACCACATTGTCAAATTGCCCCGATGGCCCAGCTGTCTATAAAATGCTGGAGGGTTCTGCTCACCTTGCTTGACTGGCCTTGCTCTCTGAAGACACTTGCGATCTCAGAAAGTGAATGCTAGCTTTTCCTATTAGCAATCAATAGGTTGTAAATAGTTTCTGCTGCTGTTGTATATGGGACAGCTTCACCTGTGCTGGACCAGTAGGAGTACTAGGGTAGGCTGCCCATTAACATTCTTACTGCCATGTGGTCTAGAGCTGTTCTGATTAAATTTAGATAATCCTGTGGTAAAAAATGATGACCGCTAGCTTACACTAGTGCTGCTACTGCTGCTAATGCACAAAGAGCTGTGCTGGTGCTAGAGTAACAATGTAAAATCCTCTGTACTTGCAGCCTGTCCCTACTCTTAAGACTTGTGCGATCACAGGAAAGGTCTAAGCTTTTGGAATTCTCCTGTTCCAAGCCAAACTCCAGGAATACTTGCATCTTTATATTTGTGTAAAGATTTGTCTACATTTTTTTTTATATTGACAGTGGAGGAGAAAATACAAAGATCTATCTCTGTTATATTGAATTTAATTATGTCTTGTTCAGCAACAGTTCTCTTAGTATCTATGTACATTATAAAGAAAGCTCAGACATAAAATATTACATGCAGAATTGTACTTCGGTAGAAATACTGCTAGATTTTACTGTCCCGTGCATTCAGTGTAATGCCTCTTGTTAAAATAGTACTTGCGTAAGAGGCAGATGCGGAGGGTGGGGAGAAGGAACCAATAAAGCATGGAATAAATGGAATTAACTTATTTCCTTTAGGTCTTAAGCGAGCAGGTCACACATTGCAGCATGACCTGTTCTTTGATACCTTGAAGATCCAGTGTGGATGTGCAGTCAAGGAGGTCTTTGACAGGGCAGGTCAGCGGCACATAAACTTTCGGATTTATAGTGATGGCACAGTAAGTCACAGAACCTTTCACAAATCTTACAGCATGGTTTTCGTGCATTGTGAGTTTTCGGTCATTAAGTAGTGTGGTGGCTATGAAGAAAGGAAAAAGCTTTTTTAAAGAAGTTGTCTTTCTAGCAAGCTCAGATATGTTACTCCACAATTTTTTCCATAAGATACTTTAAAATGGGATATAAAAACATGGAATTGCTTGGCAGCATACTGAATATTAATGAATTTTCCAAAATTGCTGTCTTTTGCTTCATGTCTTTCTAATACTGTTTTTTCCCCACCAGTGGTGGGAACTTGTTATACTCATTGAGGACTTCATGGAGAGACCCTTAAAACCTGTACTATATAAATAAATTCCAAACTTCAGCTGTTTTTGTTGTAGCCATATTTAAAGATGATTGCAAATCATTCAACATGCTCAGTAGGAACATAGAGCCTAATGAAGCCATGTCCCCTTTGTGACATATAAAATGGGTAAGAACTGCATAGCCATAATAGAATTAAATATGTAATCCAATTATTTTTAAATTCAGGATAGCAATCTCAAGCCCTGAAACCGTAAAGTGAACCTGGTATGGTTTAGGAAGAAAAAAGAATATAATAAGCAAGAAATAATACAAATATAATAATTATATTGTAGTTTTAGGAACTGAAGTTATTTGTAAATGAAATATTAATGGTTCAGGTACATAAAATGGAATGAAGATCGTATATTGTGATGTGCAAAAACACAACACATGTAATGTAATCCCTGGTTTTGGGAACTATGAATAACTGCTGCTACTTTCCCCTCCCCCCCCGATAGATTGGAGTGTCACTTGATGAAACTGTAACTGAGAGAGACCTGGATGAGTTGTTGTGGATTTTTGGGTGTGAATCTTCATCTGTAAGTACAATATAGATAATCTAGAAATATTTAGAAGGGTTACTGCATATAAAATCTGTACTTCAATGAGCTACAAAAATGTATTAAACTATATTCAAGTGAGTCAAGAACATTAATAAAAAAACCTAGTTACTCAGTTCTCTGGACTTCCTCATTCCTCCTGTGAACGCTGCTAGTTTGGCTTAGTGAGCTCTCTGGGGCAGGGACTGTCTGTATTTTGTATGCTGTACAGGATTAAACACATTGTTAGTGCACAATTAAATGGTAACTTCAGATTTCTCTTTTACTGAAGAGATCAGGATGAGGGTTACGGAGTAATGCCATGCTCTGGGAGTATGCCGCTTAATCATAGAATATCAGGGTTGGAAGGGACCTCAGGAGGTCATCTAGTCCAACCCCCTGCTCAAAGCAGGACCAATTCCCAACTAAATCATCCCAGCCAGGGCTTTGTCAAGCTGGGCCTTAAAAACCTCCAAAGAAGGAGACTCCACCACCTCCCTAGGTAACGCATTCCAGTGCTTCACCACCCTCTTAGTCAAAAAGATTTTCCTAATATCCAACCTAGACCTCCCGCACTGCAACTTGAGACCATTGCTCCTTGTTCTGTCATCTGCCACCACTGAGAACAGCCGAGCTCCATCCTCTTTGGAACCCCCCTTCAGGTAGTTGAAAGCAGCTATCAAATCCCCCCTCATTCTTCTCTTCTGGAGACTAAACAATCCCAGTTCCCTCAGCCTCTCCTCATAAGTCATGTGCTCCAGACCCCTAATCATTTTTGTTGCCCTTCGCTGGACTCTTTCCAATTTTTCCACATCCTTCTTGTAGTGTGGGGCCCTTTGTTTAACCTGGACATCCTGTATTTTGGGGCACTACTTATTTTTGGGATTGGAACCTGGGGTTTGGCAGTGCTCCATCAGTGGCCTGCAGGAAGTATGTCACACTGACTCCACCCACAGTATTTGGTAATTAGCAATAGTGCTCCTCTAGTGTGAATTAGTGAGGCTTCTGTTAATTTTTTTTATTTTATATAATGCCAGAAGTGTTATGGATGCTTTACAAGTATGTACATTGATAAAAGTACAGTATGTGCTTCAAAGAACCTGTCAATATTGGTAATAAAATGGCAGTGTATTTCAGCTAACTTTGATAACTGTGTAACTTGTTGAGAGAAGAAATTTAATTTTTCTGTGAAGATGTCTTATTTAATCACTTCATATTTCTCTCCTTGTCAAAGGAATTGGTTGCTGAGAGTATGGGAGAAGAAACAAGGGGCATTCTGAGTACTGCATTTAAGAGGACTTCCAAATTCTTGACACATCAAGTATTCAACAGGTTTGTGACGTTTATTCCCACTGCAGATTTTCAGTTTGTATAGAGATTTGACATGTTTCCTGCCCTCCCACCCTTCCCTCTTTTTTGTACTCTGAGAAGGTTGTACCGAAGACTATTACCTTATAGCATCCATTTAGTTATATTCCAGTGTTGATCCTGAGATAGCACTTCAATACTAAACATCTATTTTTAGTCACTTGTATCTTCCTCCAATTTTTTTTTTTTTTTTTTTTTGTAGGGTTGTGCAAACCCTTCTTGCTCTGGTCTGAGCCAAGCTAAGAAATATATTTTTGTCCTTTTGCGTGTAACCCTTCTGCCAGGCCAAGTTGATAGCTGCAAGGGCCGGGTTCAGTACATAGGGGTCCCCTCCCAACAGCGTGACACAAAACCAGCTCGAGCCCCCACCCAGTGACCTGGGAAAATCTTACACACACCCCTGGGCGCCTTGAAGAGGCAATACTTCCCCTCTCGCAAGCACAGAGCCTCGGTGTAGCAGAAAATGTTTAATAACATGAGGTAAACGACATAGCATTAAATTGGGAAAACACCACAACTAGAGTTCATAGACCAAACCGTGAGCGAAGACCCACCCCAGCAAATTGGGCTGTGTCCTTTCCCGTTGGTTCTTGAAACCAGCAACACAAAAATCACCCAAAGTCCCAAAAGTCCAACACCCCCAAAGTCTCTTGGGTCCAGCAACCCAAGAATCACCAAAGTCCAACAACCCCAAAGTCTCTGTCCCTGGTCAGTGCAGCCCCAGAGTTCAAAGGCGGGGGGGGCACGCAGGGTGTTAAGGGGCACCTTACGTGTTCCGAGTCCGACCGGCTGCCTCTCTGTGGGGTTCCGCCGCAGCCTTCACCACGAGCCACTCCACTCCACCAGCCGTCCCGTGAGCCGCTCCTGCTCTCCCATGAGCCGCTCCTGCTGTCCCAAGAACTGCTCTGCTCTACTCTACCAGCTGCTCCGCTCGCCGTTCCTTGGGCCGCTCCAACCGTCCCCGCAAGGCTCCGCTCTGCTAGCTGCTCCTCCAGCCATCCCCGCAAACTGCTCCGCCAGCCGCTTAGCAATATAGCTTCAAGCTCCCCCACTAGTTAACACAGCCTCAGTGATCTCAGTTCTTAGTAACTTTAGCTCTTTTGTGATTTCAGCTAGTAGTAGGGGAGCCCCAGTGCTGGTGCACTATTGGCCCAAAGTGAATTCAGCTCAGCAGCCTGTAACTAGACTCCTCATGGAATCAAAGTTAGCTCTGACATTCAACAGTGGAGAGAAGAGGTGGTGCAATTGGTGTTTCAGGCTCACAAAAGGGGCCCCACACCACCCAGTACAAATACCTGTCCCCACCCTCTCTCCATTCACTAGGAATTGTAACCCATGCCCCTTGTCAAGCAAGTGCTACTTAGTTAATGGTGAGTCCTGTCATACAACAGTTCCACTGGCCTTGATTCACAGAATCAGGGTAACAAAACTTTATTCTTCCTGCCCCAATAATAGAGAAACTGGGGATCCCACACCAGCCAAAGTAACCACTTTCAGTTGCTGTTGTTTCATGCCAGGCGGGTGGGTGTGCCTATGCAAACAAGATCAGCCCCTGGAGTTCTTTTCCACACTCGCCATAATTCACCACCAGATGTCAGGGTAGAGCTCATCCTGACTATGCTTACATGTGGTATGCATGTGTTCGTACCAGCTTGGTTTCCATAGATGCTTGTGTCCATCTTGTGTTTGTCTACCAAAAAAGCACACTTCTTATTTTCATATTTAATTACTCCTGGGGGAATTCTGCACCACTGCACAATACAGAATTTTGCAGAAATTAATGTTGTACGGACAGAACTTCCTTTTCCCCAACAGAAATGGGCTGAAGTGCTGCTGGCTGCCACTAAGGGCTCCTGGACCTGGCAGAGCCCAGCTTGCAAATAGAAGACAGGGGGAAGGGGGAGGGAACTGGAGGGTTCCCAGCACACTCTGAAGGAAGGAGGTGGTGGTATGCAGGAAATTCTGTGCAAGCCCAGGACCCGGCACCAGTGTTTCTTCCTCTGGATCCCTGGGCTGTAGGAGGGTAGCAGGTGTGAGTATCTGGGTTTGGGGGTCCTTGAAGCTGGCCTCTGTGGGACAGGCGGTCTGAGTGGCTAGGCTCAGGTGGGGGAGAAGAGGGGTGTGAGTGTCTGTCTGTAGAGGAGTGGACTCACCCCTGCGGCACCTCCTGCTGGTCTCTTCTGGGAATTAGCTCAATTTCCAGCCCAGAGCACCCTCTGCAGGCTGGTGATCTGCCTGTCCTCTGGCCCCTCTGTCCCTCCCTGGACCTCGGTGCCCTTATACCTGGGGTGTTGCCCCCGGGCAGTAACCCCACAGTCTTAGGGTCTCCCCTCCCTGGGGAACCCCCACCCACTATCCCCACCTCTCCTCAGTATCAGGCTACTGCCAGTCATCATCTAGTCCCATGCCTGGGGCAGACTGCAGTATCAGCCTACTCATCACTGGCAAGGAGGGTTTGGACCTGCTGCCTTGGCCTACCCCTGGGCTGCCCTCTGCAACCCCCAGTACCTGTTGGCCTTATGCTAGGCCCCAGCCTGGGGCTTTCCAGGCTGGAGCTCCCCAGCTCCTGCCTTTCCCCAGCCCTGCTCCACTCAGATACCCTGTCTCTAGCTCCCTGCAGCACAAGGAGAGACTGTTGAGTTTCTGGCTCCCAGCCTTTTTATACAGGTCAGCTGTGGCCTGATTGGGGCATGGCCCAGCTGTGGCTACTTCCCCAATCAGCCCAGCTTTTAGAGCTGTAGCCCTCTGCCAGGGCTGTTTTAAGCCCTTCCAGGCAGGAGCAGGGGACCACCCTGCTACAGTGTCTGACACCCTGGCTGGGCTCTGGGGGGCAGGGGGCAGAGAAACAGGAACTGGGTTGTCATAGGGGTTTCTTTATCTCTCTATTCCTGGGGGAATTTTTGTGTTTGTCTGTATTGTTACAGACCTCCTTGCTGATAGGTATTTTGAAATAAATTACCAAAATAATTGAAACTGGCATGATTATATAGTGTTGTTTTGAGAAATAAAATTTGCCGAATTTTGCAAAATTTTAAAATATTGTGTGCAGAATTTTTTAACTTTTTGGTGCAGAATTCCTCCAGGAGTAATATTTTAAGACTTAGTCTTGTCAGAAGATTTGAACAGTTTTATTCTATATTCATGGTGATGGTATATTTCTGACCTAATGGCAGTAAGGGAGATGTACTAAATACTTCTAATCAGAACTAAATATTCTGGTTTGACTGGCTAGCCAGGAAATACTGGTGTATTAGGTACTTGTCTGCATATCTTCTTTATGAAAGACTAAAATTAAATACAAAAAGAAAATGGCTCTTATCCATTGTGAATTCTTAGTCACTTCCTATAGTGGAGCACTTTTTTATAGGTCATCCAGCTTATGTAGTTAAACTGCTTGCCCTAATGCCACATTTTGTTTCCCTCCAGCTATCACTCTGAAACTAATATTGTCCGGTATATGAAAAGATTAGAAAACAAAGATATTTCCCTTGTTCACAGCATGATTCCTTTGGTAGGTATTTTCTTAAAAAATAAATAAAATCAGGTGATTATTAGTCTCTCTTTGGAGGAACAGTGACTGAATACATTCTTATCATTTTTTAGGGATCCTGCACAATGAAGCTTAATAGTTCATCTGAACTTACAGTAAGTTCATCTGACAGAATTATTCCTTGTTTAAGACCAGCCCACAGTAAACTGCCTAGTCAGTCAAACGGACACAATCCCTATTATTGTACATGTAAACACTGAATTTTATTGTCTTAAACGACCTAAACTTTAATGTTTTAGAGTGGGATTTTAAATTGGAGCAGAGTTGAGCCAACACTGAGGGGTTTTTTTTTTTTTTTTTTTTCTTTCCAAATTTTTAGGAAATTAATTTTTTTGGGGTAGGGATAAGGTAAAGATGACAACTTTTGTCTTGTTTAAATTTAACACATTTCTACATGCTTTCTTACTGATTTTTGTCTGGGATTTTCAAAGATGCTTAAAAGAGTTAGATATCCAACTCCTATTGAATTTCCATAGCATTTGGACACCTAATGCTTCTTAAGGCCTCTTAAAAATCTTACCCTAAAATGTTATGAATGTGGTGTTAATAACATAGGTGGGATTAAAGAATTAGATTTTTTTAGCTCTCTGAGGCAGGGTCTGTCTCTACTGTTTGTATAGTGCCCAGCACAATGGGATCTTGATCCCGATTCGGGTCTTTGGACACTACTGTAATGAAAGCACTCAATAATAATAATAATAATAATAATAAATAAAAATAATCCAAATCTCCTGTTTGTTACTTGGTCACCATATGACAGGATAGTCTCCTTTCAGTTCAATTTTTGAAACCAGTCAATGAAACCAGCCAGAGACTCCAGCTGGTAGGAGCAGCTGCAGCCAAAGCAGGGAACTTCAGGCATTCAGAGAACTTTCTATAGTTTTGACTGGACTTTCTGTGCCCTGTGCTGACTGGCTGTTTGTTTCAACCCTCTTCCTCCCCCTCCCTCAGTCTCTTTACCTTGGCTGCACTCCACACCTTCTCCTCTTACCCTCTTCTCCCTGATTTGCCTCCATCCCTTCTCCTTCCATTTAGCTTATCCCTCCTAATTAACACCCCCCCCCATAAATTGTGGAACTAACATGGCAGTTGTTTCGGTTGCATAGCTCACTCTGTTACATCCCTTTTCCCCACCCTGTTTGTTTGGATTATAAGCTCTTTGGGGCAAAGACTGTTGGCTACTTGTTTGTACAGTGCCTAGCACAATGGAGCCCCATACAGTGCTTGCCTATGGAGTTGTGGGAGTAAAACACCATCAGCACCACTTAATCAGAGTTTAGAGGCTCAAATTAACAGCAGAAAGTCATTACTCAGAGACCTAAGTATCTCTGGTCTTCTCCCTCACCATTAACCCTTTTCACTCCAAACACATTGTTTACAAACTCAATCTCTTGTTACAGCTCAGTATTTCTTTCTTTTTTGTTCCCCTTTAGCCTATCACGTGGAAAGAATTTGCTAATATCCATCCCTTTGTGCCTCTAGACCAGGCTCAAGGGTACCAACAACTTTTCAGGGAGCTCGAGAGGGATCTGTGTGAGATCACAGGCTATGACAAAATCTCCTTCCAACCAAACAGGTAGGGGCTCTTTCACTAGACATCCACTCCCTGACGTGGCTTAACAAAAAATTAATCTCTGCCTCTAGAAAATGGTTTGTTGCCAAAGGATTGGAGGCAGGAGTGTTCCCAGACATCTTTGACATGGTACACACCGTCCATCCCTGTGGAGCCATCTCTGCTTGAGCCGCTGGCCCTAGCACCTCTCCTGCTAAGTCTGTGCCATGCTCTGCCCTGCCTTTCAGCTGGGCCCACCCAGGCACTGTGTCACTCTGCATTCCTGAGAGAGTGAAAAGGTGCTGGAAACAGGGTGAGGTCAGGCAGACTCCTGAAGAGAGCCCTGGTGAAGGAGCCAGCCCCATGGCATCATCAAGGAGAAGCACTATTCACTCAAGTATGGCCCCACTGCACCTCCATCATGACAGGGACTGTGGGGACAACTTGAGCGGTGCTGCAGCCCCCATGCACCAGTTCATAATATCACTCACTCAATTTTGTACCCCCTCCACCCCATCATGATGGAAGGCCAGTTGGGGCCAAACCTGAGTGGGCAGGGGAATCGTCAGGGCTGCTGCTCCTCACCACTGCCAATGATATGTACTGTGAGTATACACAATGGGCTGTGGGCATCCCTAATTGGAGGGGATCTAAGGGTTAGCTTCTTCCACAGCTATACTGCCTGAATGCAAGACTCGGGCACTGAGGCTTGATTGAGGCAATAGTATTAGAGAAGCTTAATCTGGCAATGTTTTCTTCTACACGTTTGAGGGTCAGGATGAGTGACAGACCAATCTTCCCTTCCCTCCCTCCTTTCAAGTTCACTTTGATGTTTGGAGTCTCTTCTTTGTTTTTAGTGCTCTTCTCTTCATTTTCAAGGTAGACCTTGTCCTATGGATGAGGTAGCCTTCGGCTAGACAAGTGCTGCTTCAAACAGAGAAATCTGCGGGGGTGGTGGTGCTTGGGAGAGACTCTATCATACAGGGCTAAGCGAATCTCACCGTCCCCTTTTCAAATGGGCGAGGGTGGTTTGCCAAATCTCATATTTGAGGGGTTGGTGAGCCATTTAATCTGCCCTGCTGGTAATAACTAGAGGTGAGCACGGGGGTGATTGTGTTGATTTGGTGGAATGAGAGCAGGGGAGCACAGTGACAGGTGTGTACTGGCCAGCTGATCGCTCCAGGTGTACTATCCAACCCCTTTCCTGAACCTCTTTGGATTTCTTTGGGGCAAACTTGGGGTGCTTTATCTTGTTTTCCCTCAGCCCCATGATCACTGTTGCTCTTTGAAGCAGCCATGTTCTCAAGCAAATACTGCCTCCGTGCTGCTGCTATCATTTTCTGATAGCATTAGCAGGAGGAAGGCTCTTGCTTTCCTTCTAGAATCAGTAAAGTGTACATAGAGAGAGACTTAGATTGGGGCCCCCAAATGATCTAAAATAAACTAAGACAGGTTGAGCTGTCACTCAAACTGGCCCTCTCATCTTAAAGGTAAGGAATGTCAGACACACCTGAATACTTTGTTCATTGAAATAACGGGATAACTTCAGGCATATACACGATGAATTCTTTCTCAGTGTTTAGAGGATACATGAACGTTTCCTTTCATGTCACGGGTGATCTTGATAAACATTTGGTCCCCCATTCCAAATGCCACACAATGGCCTATAACCATCCCTTCTGAGAAGCTAGTTGGATGTGATTCTTCCCTGGGTTGGGAGGAGGCAGTTGATTGAGTAATATGAAGTGTTTTAATTCCTTACAACCCACCTGAGCTGAGCACTGAAGTATAACATCCCTTAATTTCTGTCCACGGACAGTATCACCATGGGCTGATTTTTACTGTCTAATAGTGCAGCAAGCTGCCATGCAGGGAATAGGGATGGGCCCACAGCCAGGGGGTTGGGCTTTTTGGAACTAGGTGTGTTGAGGACGTTCTGAGAAGCATATTAGCAAAGCTCTTGGAATAGTGCTATTTTGAATACTGTTGGAGAAGCCAGCAACTACATAACTTAAATTCTTGTTGAAAATGCTCTTCATTAATATGCAAGGTTTTATGAGGCTAGAGAATCTCTAGGGTTTTACTGTAGTAGTCAGTGAGTACTGTTATGATCCAATGTAGTGGAACTATAATCACTCATTTCATGCCAAATATACTGAAATGATGTCTTCTGCCTCTTTAAATGACTGTAAAGGGATTCCAGTTGCTGGATGTCTGTTATGTTGTAATGCTTTATCCAGGCCTTCTATTCTTGATGGAACAGCATCTCTGTACTAGCTGTATTTTTGGTTTGTTTGTTAAATTAGTATTATGTGGTTAGTTATGGGGGAATCTATTCAATACCTACAATGTTGTTGCAGTCCTAGTGCTGATAGAATATAAGCTAGTGACATCACTATAATATGTTTCACCCAGTACGCTTGATAAACTGTGTGCACTTGTCTTGTATCTCCTGTGCATGTGCAGCTTAAAACATAGATTGTATCTGTTCTTTATCAACTACTTAAACTTGATCAAATCCACCAAGAATGGCTTGAGCAAGAATGGTTTTAATGTTACAAACAGTACTACACGGACATTCTAGTTCATACTTGATAATGGCTTTGTGTTCTTGCAGTGGGGCCCAGGGTGAATATGCTGGATTGACTGCAATCAAAGCTTACTTAAATGCAAAAGGAGAACGTCATAGAAATGTAAGTGTGAAAATATGTCTGAGACATAACTCTTTGTGGAGCAAATGGTTTGGAGAATACGTTCTAGAGGAAGAATGGTCCAGTGATTAGGTTGGTAGCTTGAGATTTGGGAAACCTAGACTTCTTGCTCTGCCAAAGACTTCATGGGTGACCCTGGCCAAGTCACTTAGGCTGTGCCTTAGTTCCCTATATAGAACAAAGGGCAACAGCACTTCTGTACCTCGCAATGTGTTGTGGTGATAGTCCCACAATTATTTGATGTATTGATCAAATACTACAAGAATAGGAGCCATACAAGTACCAAAGGTAAGTTCAGTTTGACCAGGGCCGTTACTAGGGTGGGGCGAGCGGGACAGCCACCCACAGTGCAGAGCCGCCCAGGGTGCAACAATGGGGTGGCACCATAAGCGGCGGGTGAGTCTTCCGTTTTTAGAGAGGCTTACATGCGAGCGCTGAAAGCTCCCTAGAAATGGGAGGAGCCACTGGCACCCAGACCGTGGCCCTGCCCCCACTCCTCCTCTCCCCCAAGGCCACCCCCACCGTCCGCTCCTCTCTGCCTCTTCACCCAAGGCCAGCCCCATTGCCCACTCCTCGCTCCTCTCTGCCACAGAGGCAGTGGGCTGGCACACCTCCAAAGGGAAGTGATCCACGCGGTATCCACAGCATTTGCTCTCCTGTGTGGCCAGCCTTTTTGGGGGAGGCTTAGGCTCCCCAAGCCTCTTATATATGCTGCCCATGGGCGGAGACAGGATTGGGCCTAGCGGCATCAGGTTCCCTCTCTCCCTGCTCCTCCCCCCCCCCCCCACGGGATCAGGTACAGCAGCCAGAGCCCAGGGTGCTCATAGCCCCACCTCCCCGCAGGATCACGGCCCTATGATCCTCACCGGAGCAGGCTCTCCTCGGTGCTAGGACCGCAGCGGCAGGTCTCTACGTGCCCTGGCTGGTGGGAAGGGCCGAAGGAGGAAGGGCTGCACTCTACATGCAGCCACATGCTGGAGATAGGAGGTTGGCTGCACACAGTGCCTGGGGTGCCACATGAGGAGGAGGTGCAGGAGGCCAGGTCCACAAGGGAGTGCAGGGGTTAGGGGAGAAGGGGGGCGTGGGAGGGGAGGGCAGGGATTAGGAATGAAGTGGGGGTGCAGGACGGGAGTGGACTGATACTGGCATGTCCTCAATCTGAAACTTCCAGAGCCCTGGGACACAACTTGTTAGCCTTACTGTCTTAACACTAAAATTGAGCATTCATAATGTAAACTTAATCTACCCCCAAAAAGAATTCCTTCCTGTCAACATACACCCTTAAATTGGTATAATAATGTTTCTTTCATAGAATTAGAGGGGGAAATCCCTACTTCTTAAGGAAATAGTTTTAAATAGTGGGCAATTATTTATCTGTAAAATAAATCTAATAATAAACAAGTTACAATGGTACCTCAGATCCCCTAAGGGGCACATGGAAGAACATGAAAAAACAGCTTAACCAACATAGCAGGCATCTAGAAGAACATTTTCTTATCATATTTAACCATTATACTACTGACTAGAACAGGCACTAAAGCAGGGGTGGGCAAACTACAGCCTGTGGGCCGGATCCGGCCCCTCGGGGCTTTGGATCTGGCCCGCGGGATTGCCACCCCTGTGGCGCCGTGGGCCCTGCACTGCTCCCAGAAGTGGCCAGCACCACGTCCCTGCAGCCCCGGGGGAGGACTTTTGGCCAATGGGAGCTTTGGGGGAGGTACTGACAGGCGAGGGCAGCACACGGAATCCTCTGCCTCCTCCTCCCCCAGGGGACACAGGAATGTGGTGCCGGCCGCTTCTGGGAGTGGCGCGGGGCCAGGGCAAGCAGGGAGCCTGTCTTAGCCCCGCTGCGCACTGCTGCCACCCCGGAGCCGCTCCAGTTAAGCGGCGCTGGGCCGGAGCCTGCACCCCGAACCCCTCCTGCACCCCCAGCCCCCTGCCCTGAGCCCCCTCCTGCACTCTGCACCCTCCTTGCACCCCAACCCTCTGCCCTGAGCCCCCTTGTACATCCTGCACCCCAAACCCTTTCCCTGAGCCCCTTCCTGCACACCGCACCTCCTCCCACACTCTGCACTCCCTCCCACGCCCCAACCCCCTGCCCCAGCCCTACATTCATGGCCCTGCATGCAATTTCCTCATCCAGATGTGGCCCTCGGGCCAAAAAGTTTGCCCACCCCTGCAGTAAAGAGTAACATCATAACCTGAACAGATTAAAAAAAATTGTAATGTGTGGTTTGTTTTGGAGGGAATGTCATGTCTGTCTGTCTATAGCATTAGGTATGAACATCATTGGATAGTGTAGATTTTTCAGTGGACAAAGGATGGGATGGTGGTAATGAAGTCCACACCTGAGAGGGTTGCAACTGCCTGACCAGATGTAGCTGAGGGCAAATAAAGCTGTCCTGCTCATTCCTATTATATCTATGGTTCTCAGCCTTTTCCATACTGTGACCCCATCTTAACATAGAAAGTTTTTTGGGACTTCCCTCCCATCTAGCCATAACAAAAGGGGCAGGCGGACCTTGAATTTGGTCTCAATCCACAGGCTGAGAAACTGTATACTATGACTTCTAAGAGCAGCTGGAAGTCTAACAAGACACTTTCCTCCCCCCATCATTGTGAATTTGACAGATAGCAGATGTGCCCTCAGTCCTTGCTTTATCCTGTGGCAGTTTCCCCATCCTACCCAATCACCTCAGAAACCCCCGAATGGAGCCTCAGCCAGCTCACTCTCCTCCAGGCCTCAGTTGCTACCATGCACTGAAATACTTAATCATACAGTCTGAGTGAGATGACACGGAGAAAACAGTATAATCATATTTGAAAACATTTAAACTCATGCCTAATTAGCTCAACCTCAAACAGGAGGGGTGATAAGGTGGAATCCCATGGTAGAGAGCCCATAGAGCCAAGGGCTACCCTCTAGGATCTTTCTAGATAAAACAATGAAATCACCAAAGAGCAATAGTCCGTCATCTATTGTTCGGGCTTGAAAGTGAGTGAACAGTGCCTCATGGCCAGTGGTATTGAAGGCAGCTGATAGATCTAATTGTTAGATTTAATATCAGCATGGATACCTGAATTTCATCTATCACCAGGGGAGACAATCATTTACTGCAGTTTCAGGTTTTACTTACATGAGAACTTACTCAACAGCAGCTGAAGTTAAAATGAAATGTGAGTTTTAAGATTGCTATCTTGCTGTTATCCTTTGCTTTTCTTCTGCTCTCCTTTCTTTTCTTCTGGTCTGCTTTCTATTAGAGAATATACCCAAGCCAGTTCTTTGTATGCCTCTGAGTTCCTCTGTGCTCATAAGTATCCAGGAAGGATGATAATTGTGCAGAAAGCCTTTTGAAGGAGCTTCCTTTCTAAAGTTATTCGGATCAGCACATGCCAAGTATTAGTGAAATCAAAATAATTTTGCAATAAAATGACTGGTAGTACATTACGTTGTGGAATATACTAATGTTCTTTAAAATTGTGTTTTTTCTGTTGCATATGGTGCAGTCTATGATGCAGTTCATGGTGTGATAGCTTTAATGCAGAATTGCTGTTTTGGGGAAGCAACAACTTGACAGCAAAAACTGTCTCTGGTCACCTACTTTTTTTCTTTCTTATGATTTCCATGGCACTAAGATTTTAAATCAGACCATTTTAAAGTAATGTTAATGTTCTTGTCACTTGATAATGGATCCCTCAGTGAGGGATAAAATTATTTTCTTTCTGTGTCTGGAAAGCAGCTAGGTACAATCTGTGTGGAGTTCAATATTCAAAGAGAGCCCATGGCAGGCTTTCAAGATTAGAACAGCGTACAAGAGGAGAAGAGACAGGTTGTCAGGGTCAGCTTCCTAGCAGCAGGATGCCTACTATATTTTCTTATAAACTTTAGTATGATGAGGAAGGAAGCGTTTGTTAAGATTAGAAAAACTTGGACAATTGAAATTAACACTTGGACTTCTTTGAAACTTGTTACACAGCAGTGTCAGTCTCACGTTGTTTCTTTTTTATATAAAGGTACTTCAGTGCTTACATTTCTCCAGCGAGCCTAAGATAGGTGTTTCACTTAAACATACACACAAGTTTTTGTTCTTTCTACGTAATCTGGTGTGTTTGATCTCTTTCCCAGTTTCTGTAAAAGCTGGCTCTGTATCTTGTTATCTACGGCTGTCCTAAAGTAAAAATGTGATGTGCACAGCCATGGGGTATCTGGCTTTTTGCAGTGGCTGAATATGAAAGCAAAAGAACCCTGACCAAAAGCTCTCTTCGGAGTAAGCCTCCTTTTGATTTGGTGCCCCCTTGTGGGGAAAATATTCTGAGCGATGCAAGCAGCCATCACATCTAATCATTTACACTTTACACCAAGTGGTTGTAAAACACTACCCAGCCAAAATGTAACATTCTATACCCACTCTGTAATTATGCAGCACAATTGCAAATGACTATATAAGGTGCAGTACAATGGAGAATTGTACTGAAAAGAATGTAAGGGGTCCACCTGGCGATGTTAAATTTTATATGTCACTACAAACAGGACAGTTATCTTGGTGCCATAGTAGATTCTCTTTTATTAAGTTTTTTGGATTTCATTTTTTAAAAATGGGCTATTTTTATTAACATTTGTTTTGTAATTATATGGTGTAAAAGCAGAAATCTTAAATATTGCAGCACTTCATTTAATTTGAAAGCATGTTACTTGTTGACTGTAAGGCACTTCATTATAAGCTACTTTAACTCAATTTAAATTAAGTAGCGTTATTTACATACTCATTTTAATTATAAACTTAATCTGTTTAATCCAGAGTTGAGGTTTACAGGCATCACTGTGTATAAAAGAAGACTTGTCTTCATGATTTGCAGAGAAGACTAACGCAGCATCAATGGATGTTGGTCGGGGTGGGCAAACTACGACCCACGCGCCAGAGCCATTTTAAGGCGGCCCGCGAGCTCCCGCTGAGGAGCAGAGTCTGGGGCTTGCCTTGCTCTAGCGCTCCAGCCAGGGAGCAGGGTTGGGGGCCACACCACGGCCCCGCTCCGGTGCTCCAGCCGGAAGCAGGGTCGGGGGTCACACCATGCAGCTCCTGGAAGCAGCGGCATGGCCCCACTCCGGCTCCTACGTGCTCCAATGGCCCCCTCTGGCGCTCCAATGGGAGCTGCAGGGGCAGTGCCTGCAGATGGGGCAGTGTAAAAAGCTGCCTGGCCGCGCCTATGCGTAGGAGCCGGATAAGGGACATGCCGCTGCTCCCAGGAGCCGCTTGAGCTAAGCGCTGCTTGGAGCCTGCACCCCTAAGCTCTCATCCCCAGCCCCACCCCAGAGCCCGCAACCTCAGCCAGAGCCTGAATCTCTTCCCACACCCCTGCCCTAGCCCTGATCCCCCTCCTGCCCTCCGAACCCCTTGGTTCCAGCCAAGAGCACCCTCCTACATCCTAAACTCCTCAACCCCATCCCAGAGTCTGCACCACCCCCTGCATTCCACTCCCCCACCCTAGCCTGGAGCTCCCTCCCACACCCTGAAGTCCTCATTTCTGGCCCCACCCCAGAGCCCACACCCCCAACCAGAGCCCTCACCCCCTTCCGCACCCCAACCCCAATTTTGTGAGCATTCATTGCCCGCCATACAATTTCTATTCCCGGATGTGGCCCTCAGGCCAAAATGTTTGCCCACCCTGATGTTGGTAATGAATTTGAAAAATGTTTTTGCCTAATTCTTCTACAAAATGGTGGAGTTTTAGTAAAACTGGCTAACAAATTTGTCAACTAAATTCATAAATGCGTAAAAGCAGCTGAGTTTTATTATGCTCATGTACATTCAGTAACAAGAGATGAAAACACTTTCAGTGTAGGTAATTTAATCTTCAAATTATTCCTAGCTTGCATTTTTTTAAATTGAGTTTTATTGTCCATATGAGAAGATTTCTCTGTTACATCCAGATACCATGGTTCTTTAGAAGCTGTATCTTGCATCCAGAGATCAAACATAGACGTGACTGGGAAGTGAGAGTTGGGAGGTACAGTGGAGAGCTTTTCAATCTTCAGATGAGATTGAAATTAAGATATGTTCACTCCAGGTTGTGTTGTGTATATAGAGGTTGACTAATATCTCAAAACTAGTGTGTAATAAATATTCCTTCTGAGATGAAATACAAACCACATGCAAGTAGAAACTTATAATGGAAGTGTTCTTCAAAAGTGGCCCTCAGTGTGAGGAATACTCAGTAAATGAACGGTTAATATGGTAGTGGGTTTTGGATGCTGCAATTTTATGTAAACATTTTGCTGTATGAAAATTGTGTTGAATTCTTGTAATACAGGTAGTACTTCTGTTTGTACCTTTTCTGGAGGTCTGATAATGAAATGCACCTTTTGATGGTTTTTACTGCATTGGGATTTCATGGTTAGTCAATGTAATTAGAACTTACATTTTTCTCCACTCAGGTTTGTCTTATTCCTAAATCTGCTCATGGTACCAACCCAGCAAGTGCCCATATGGCAGGGATGAAGATTCAGCCAGTCGAGGTGGATAAAAATGGAAACATTGATATTGCCCATCTAAAGGCAATGGTGAGTGTCATATCTGCTGTTTATTTTGGGGGGTGGGAACTTTCCCTCTGGATAATGGATTGTTAGCAGCTGTATCAGATTTTCTGTTATGCAGGAAAATGGTGCAAATAAATAGATACCCGCTTTAAAAGAATAAATCATTCTTCCTTTTCTTTCTATTTGAGACACAAGCCATTAAACTTATAAGCCCTCTTTAAATTTGGGGATCCTTTGTGTAGAAATGGTTGAAAGAGTGTACACTGTAGCTTCTTTCATGGCAGAGTTGTTGGGGTCTCCTCCCCTTCCTGTGTTCAGTATCTGAAGTGAATGAAGCATATTCATGTGATTCTCAAACATTTGTAGCTGCACTTTAACCTTCATCTACTGAAGAGCAGTCCCACCGCTGGGTAAGATGTTGCTAGGCAACTGCCTCTGCATCTCTGAATAGATTGGCTGCAGATGAAGCTAAAGAAGTAGCAGAATATATTTAAAATATATTTTGGAGCTGTTAGGTATTGAAATTATCATTGCCACTGAAGGAAAAAAAGACTGGCAGCCAATTTCCTAGAAAATGTGAAAGACCAATTTTGTTAACCAATGAGTGCAGCTGGTTTAAAATCTCTCTCAAATGTGATTAAACTTACGTTTCTCGTTCAAGTGATTGTGCACATATACGTTCCACTGTAGATGTGTGCGTGCCCAATGCATCCGAGTTAGAGACTTTTGCCAGCAGCACACGTGCCCCTGCCATCCTTGTGTGCGGAACTGAAGGCATAAAAAGGGCCTGGCCGCCGCCTTCCTCTCAGTTCCTTCTTACCACCCATGGCAAGAGTTGGGGCTCCTCACCACTCTTGAGCCTCAGTTAGCTTCGAAAGAAATTTTCTCCTGTGTATAGTTCTAGTTTAGTTTGTTAATAGCTCTTTATGGAGGGGGAGAGGTGCGGGGGGCGGGGGGGGTTGTCATGCAGAAATCTCCTGGATTGAAAAAATGTACCACATTCAGGGCTATTATCCGTGTCACTGATAAGCACAAGAGTTGCCTCATTTGTTTCGGCAAGAGATGTATGAGAGACAAATGTCCGAGCTGTATCCCATTCTCCATGAGGACAAAGAAATAGGGATTTCTGCCTTAGAGCTCATAGAAGTATAGGGCTGGAAGGGACCTTGAGAGGTTATCTAGTCCATCCCTGGCAGGTGTTTGTCTAACCTGTTTTTAAAAAACCTTCAGTGATGAGGATTTCACAGCCTCCCTTGGAAGCCTATTCCAGAACTATCCCTAGAATAAGATTATTTTTTTTTCTAATATTTAACTTACATCTCCCTTGCTGCAAATTAAGTCTTACTACTTGTCCTACCTTCAATGGACATGGAACACAATTGATCGTTATCCTCTTTATAACAGCCCATAATACATTTGAAGACTGCTCAGTCATCTTTTCTCAAGAGTGAGCATACCTAATTTTTTGAACTTTCTTATAGGTCGGGTTCCCTCCAGTTTGTCCACATCTTTCTTAAAATGTGGTGCCCAAAACCGCGTTTCCATGGGGATACTTCGCTATTTTGCCTTTAATATTGTCTGAGAACTTTTAAAGGGTCTTATTCGTATGTACCCTCCAGTCTCTGATCCTGTACCCTCATGGGACCTGGATTTAGTTTTGTCCTGTTTAATGGGTTTCCCTTTCAAACCTTTGGCAACAACTTCATTATCATTGCTGTCAATGAAAATAGCCTTTCTGGTAGCAATTACTTCCACAAGACGGGTGTTGGAGCTTGAGACACTGCTAGCTGACTCCGTCTCCATGACATTTCACAAAAGTAAGGTTTTTCTTAGGCTACACCTGAAGCTTATGTCTAAGGTTGTATCTGCATTTCACCTCAGACCATTCATATTCCAGTGTTGTTTTTCCCCGAAAAAACCCTCATTCTAGCAAAACTGAAGAGAAGCTTCACACTTTAGTCATTTGGAGGGCTTTATCCTTATTTGGATTGCAACAAAATCTTTCAGCTGAGGCTACAAAAAGTTTAGGAGATTCACTGAAAGGATGAAAGGGCAACCAGTTACAGCCCAGCATATATCTCACTGGATTTCTGACTGTATCAAGGTTTCCTCTCCTCAGAGAACAACAGCCCATTCCACTAGGGTTCGTTACACTTCATCAGCCTTCTTAAGTAACGTACCAATAGTAGACATTTGCAAAGCAGCAACAACATGGTCGTTGATACATATCTTTTTTTCAGACACTACACTGTCACTCCAGCTTCCCGGGGCAATGCCATCTTTGGAAAGTCAGTGCTGTAGTCTCTTTTCAAGTCCTATCATCTCTAAGGAAACTGCTCGTGAATCACCTGCAGTGGAATGTATCTGTGCATAATCACTCAAGGGAGTGTGTACAAGGGTTAACTGGGGCTTGACCCTCTCCGGGGCGGCGGGGAGCCACACCGGCTCACTACATACAGTTATTGTTCGGGGAATTAGTCTGTCTGCGGGGGTCTCCCTCGGCAGCCCTTGCGGTAACTGAAATAAACACTGTAGCCCAGGCCCCAGGGCGGGCAACAATGAGTCATGAGCTCAGGCCCTCAGGCAGGGCTGAGCAGGAGCAGTACAATTAATAGCTAGCCCAGGCCCTAGGTCAGGGCAGGGCAGTGCAGAGTCAGAGCTCAAGCCCTCAGTCAGGGCTGAGCAACAACAGTAGGCCCCAAGCCTCCAAAGGCCTGGGAGAGGGGGAGACTGCCACCCACGAGTTGGGTGGCAGGGGGGACGCAGGCCCTCCCACTCCACTGCGTCCCAGCCCGGGGCCCTAGCAGCAGCAGAAGACCTGCTGCATAGTCAGTGGGGATCCTGGCCGCAACACACTGACATGGGCTCTGGCAGTGCTGCAGCCAGACTGGGGTCGGCTGCCCCCGGGCTACTTCCAGACTCCCCCTCGGGTAGTACCTGGGTCTGGGTGTTGTCTTCTGGGGGGTCCAGCACCATAGGTTCTTCCGGGTAGCGGGCGCAGGGCAGGCCCAGCAACTCTCCCGGGTAGCGGGTGCAGGGCAGGGCAGGCCTGGCCAGTCCTGGCGGCCGCCTTGGGCCACAGAGTTTTCCCAGTCACGAGCTAGGCTGGAGACGTCTGGTCTCTCTGGCGGCTGGAGCCTTACTGAGCTCTGAGGGCGAGCCTTTATACTTCCGGGTCGCCGCCTGACCCTCTGAGGGGCGGGCTCAGAGCTCCCTAGCTCCGCCCACTCCGACCTCCGGACGGGCTCTTCCCTCTCCAGGACGGCGGAGAGCCACACCACCTCACTACAGGGTAGAGGGGGAAAAAACCTGTTTACTTCCCTGTAGTAGTGTATAGTAACTTGTTGTTGTTCTTTGAGATGTACTGTGCACATATACATTCCACAACTGTCCCACCTTCCCTGGTACTGTGGGTATTAGACGGACAGTTGTGTGAAAGGTGTCATGCCCCTTTTTATGCCCTTGGCTCCACACACAAGAATGGCAGGGGCACATGTGCTGCCTCGTGGTACTGCCAGCAAAGTCTCTGACTCTACTGCATAGGGTGCACACATACTTGTATGGTGGAATGGATGTGTGTGCCATACATCTCGAATGGCCATTGCTGTACAGGCAAGTAACTGTTTTTCATACTACTTTTCCCTCACTATCATTGGTTTAAATTAGTCTTGGTGAAGAACAAACATTTCTACATAGATGCTTCTGAAGGAAAAGTAGAGCTCAACAGCTTTCACTTCAGTAACCAGACATTTGTCATGATAGAAAATTTGCATAAACATTTTTTTTTCTTAGAGATCATTAAATTTCCCCAAAGTCTACAACTTAGCACCAAGATCATGTGCCAGGGAGGGTGACTGGCAGTTTCGATTTCGCTGGATGAGATGGGTAAACTTGTTTTCAGCATGTAAAACACTTGTGGTGGTGACAGTAACTACTTGATTTTTATAAAGGATTTTGCTGAAGAGAACTTTGTGACCCTCCAGTAACCTTCTCTATTCCCTCCTTTTCTAAAGGTGGATAAGCACAAAGATAACTTGGCAGCCATCATGATCACATACCCATCCACCAATGGTGTGTTTGAAGAGGATATCAGTGATGTGTGTGACCTGATTCACAAACATGGAGGCCAGGTTTACCTAGATGGTGCAAACATGAATGCCCAGGTGTGAATCTGCTAAACCAATTTTAGCTATTTATTGGTGGTGGTGGTGGTAACTTCCAGAGAAACAACAAATGTCAGTTCTCACATTTTCAACTCTACCACAGCTTCACCATAAGACTGATATACCATAAATGTTTGGAAAGAAACTGAGGTTACCAAAAATACCAGTAGAAATTGGATGTAAAAAATATTGTCACAGTTCAGGGCAGAAATCAGCATCTCTCTCCTTCCTGACCCAGGGTTTTCAAGGCTGAACAGACCCCTGCCTTGCACTGTGATATTTCCAGCAAGCCAGGCGGCCTAAACAGCCCAGTGTCTATGCTTTGCCTTCTCTCCAGAGGCTGTGAACAGCATCATTGCCTGCAGTTACAAGTTATCACACAGCTCTTTATAAGCAAGCACATTTATTAAGGTGAAAGTATTGGAGAGAAAACATATTCAAAACAATAAAAGAACCTACATACATACAAAAAAGCTTGCCAGAGGTCACCCATCAGTCTTATGGGGCCCTCACAGGTCAAGTCCTTCCATCCCTTTGCAAGTGTTGTTTCCTCTTCGACGGTCCTGTTGACTTGTTGGATCAAAAGAAAGGCCCTGAGAAAGTTAAAACTCGAGCTTTTTATCCAAACATCATTTCTTTGTCTGTTAGTCTCTGGAGAATCCAGGTTGAAATACTATATGCAAGGCTTCCCAGGAGGTGATACCTCCCTGGAAGGGCTACAACCTGGCTGGTTTGTCTTAATCACCACCTATTGTTTTTAGTTCCTGATAGAGCTTTGGTAGCCCTCCCCCATGGAGTAGAACACAATCATACAAAACCATTAACTTAAAAACAATGAATCCCAATGATACTTAAACTTAGTTCACTAAGGTCTCACAAAGATATGCAGGAAATTGCTATATGTTACAAATATAATTTAAAATGGGCTATATGCTGAATGACCAGAAGTCTAGTGCGTAGAATTATTTGTAATGTTCTCATTTGCCTCAAAGATGTTTATAAAAAGTATCTGAAAGGCCAGAATAGTAAATTGAATTTTAAGTCTAAAGTCCTTTATCTGATCTAGGTGTCTGTTACACATTTAGTTAGGAATTTAACATTTGTAAAAGATGCTAAACCTTCCTATACTTAATGGATATGACCTTGTAAAGGAAAACAAAATTAATCTAATAATTTTAGACTCATTTTTGCATAGAAAACCAGCACAAATTGAAGAAATGACACTAAAGCATGTTGATAGGTTATTAACAGATGCAACTTTCTCCTAGAGTGTCAAATGGCAGTGATGAGATCAGTTTGTATATGGAAAAATATATTTTCGGAGACAGCATTTGAGCTTTTGGTGGTGATTCTCCAACAGGTGGGTCTGTGTCGCCCTGGAGACTATGGATCTGATGTCTCTCATTTAAACCTTCACAAAACCTTTTGTATTCCCCATGGAGGAGGAGGACCTGGAATGGGGCCAATTGGAGTGTGAGTATCAGGCTCTAGCTCTTAAATTGACTTTGGAGGAGAAGGGACCCTAGTTAATTGTACATAGCAATTCTATTGAGAGTAAGGGCCACTAGCACTGATTTGGGAGAGGCTTAGTTTTGGCAGTTGTTGTGTACGTTTCTATTCTAAGGCACTTATGACTGGCATTTGAATACCACTGTATTGTTGTCTTCATATCACTACTGTGCTCACATATCCCTCAGCCAGTGCATTAGAGTCTTGACAAGCAACCACCCCTTGGTGACTCTGGAGCCAGGCATATCAGAAGTTAGTTTTTAGTTAAATGCTGCTAACAAATCTGCCTCACTGTGGTAGCGATTCTCCATCTTTTTGTGATGGATTAGCAGATGGATGCTCCCATAGTCCCCTTGCACAATCCAGTATCCTGGAAGTTTCTTCTCTAGACTTCTTGTTCACTTCATATTTTTTGTTTGTTTGTTTTGTTTTCTCTTACTCCTTAGAAGGCTACATGCTGCTCTGGGTAGGTGGAGTCTTTTACTGGTGACTACTTGACTAGCTATAAGGAATGTCCGAGCAGTAGGGAAGAGAAGCTTGTGCAGGTGGGCTGATATTGATCCTGGAGTCTGTCTATGCAAGTTGCAACCATGGTCAGCTGCATTAAAGGGCCTACTTAGGGAGGAAAGGCTGGTGACTTTCAAGGAGAAACTGCATACTTTACCCACAGCTGCTATAAAATGTTGATTGTGGGTGCACATCTGGAGTTGTACAGCTTTCCCAGTCTTTCTTCTAACCCTAAACTTACCCCATCCCTTACTGCATCTCTCTGTTCTACATTTCTTCTCCTTTCACCCGTCCCCAATGACTAGTCCAATGTTCCTCAGGTTGGGGTTGGTCCTGCTTTGAGCAGGGGTGGGACTAGAGACCTCCTGAGGTCTCTTCCAACCCTGAGATTCTATGATTCTATGGTGAAGGGGGAGAACTCCATCATTCTAGAATAACATGTGCAATGACCTGGTGTTTAGTTTGCAAATAATGAAACCATAGGCCATGCGCCACATGGAAAATGTGTACTGTATAAGCAAGTGTGTGTAGACAATCATCCTGCTTGTTAAACCCGTTGACTTCTTCCAACATGAAGGGTCTTAAACGTTTGGTCCTGATGATAGTTACACCACATAAGCAAAACAGATAGGATAAGGAAAACCATTGCAATAATGGAGTGACATAGGGAACAGCATGATTTTGCTGTAGTCTTGATAATCTGTGCTCAGATCCGGGCAAAAACCAGTCTAGGAAAGAACAAGGATTTGTGTTGGGCTTATGTTTGCAACAGTAAATAGGCATGGGTAAGGAACTGGCAATTTAATATGGAACCTCTCACTAGTTTACCAGCTCAGATTTATTTTTTAAGTAAGCTGTCTTCAGTCTAGTCTTTGATGAACTAGTGTCCATCTTGCAAAACTCACCACAGCAATTGATTCTATTTGGAGTGAATGATAAAGGAAATGTAGACTGGCATGGAAATCATTAAAGTGGATTTCTATACTTGATAGTCCTGACAGATTAAAAAAAGTGGGAATCCTCTTCTGAAGTTAGCCAAAATGATTCAGCAATGTGTTTGTTTTAAAATCAATGTATCTGTGTTTCAGGAAGAATCATCTGGTGCCCTATCTGCCTACCCATCCTGTCGTTGCGCTACAGCTTGATAAGGATGCATGCCCTTTGGGTACAATTAGTGCTGCCCCTTGGGGCTCCAGTGCTATATTGCCTATTTCCTGGGCCTATATCAAGGTGCGTAGATTTTCTTCCCCAGCATCAGTTAAGGATCTGTTTATTTTCCCAGTGTGGCATTTCTACATTTGGGAAGGTGAAATTGAGTATTTTAGACCTATCCAACATTCATGCTTTCAAATGGGTTCACAAGGTCATTGAAAATGGTGGCATTGATTCACACATTCTAATTTCAGATACAGTATATGGTAGTCTTGCAAAATGCCCAGGAAAACTTTCTAACCCAAGTACAAAATCTGATTACTTGCCCTTCACCTCAAGGAGTTATACTTTACTCACATGTCAAAGGAAAAAAATTATTTCACCTGGGCAAGTAGAATGTTCTTAGGCTGTTTAATGCAGTTTTCCCCCAAGAAGACATGCACACAATCCACAAAACAACCAGTGCCTCTGTTAGAAGTCCTAGAGCAGATTTCAGGAATAAATTTCATGTTGGGATTCTTGCTGTCTTTGGGGGTGCTGCTTCTATAGATAGTGAGGGCAGTAGAATGAACTAGTGCCATAAATGAACATATGCAACTTGTTTAATGTCCTTGTTTGTTGCCTTTTAATATTTCTTGAGGCCAGAGTTATAACCACATGTATAATTAGACTGTGTCCAAGAAAGAGGCTTGTCCTCCCACTATTTTTCAGAATCATCCGATTTTCATGTTCTTCAGGGAGCTTCTTGGCAATAGTAAATTAATTTCTTATTTACAGAATTTCTTACCTACTTTGTCTCAATATGCTGCAGCATTGTGTTCAAAAATGTTAGAATCACTCCACAGCTAGTAAATGCAACTTTCTTGAAACGTTTTTCTTCAGGAGACAAAAATGGTCTTCAGTGAAATCTTACTAACCTATGAAAATCAAATCTGATTAGCTTTGGTTAGGGTACATGAGAACTTGGCTTTAGTGTTTGTCTATATTCAAATATTTTGGAACACTGAAACTTACTGACACATGGTTAGAATCATGGGCTAATTTAACACTTATTTGGTAAATGCTATTAAAAATGTACTTCAGATCCTTGAGTTTAAGATGAGCCTAATTCCTATATTTATCCTAAAGATGTGTAATGATGCTTGGTATTGTAAGCTGATTCCAATTTTGAAATATTCACACTGGAGCATATTATTTTACGTGTAGGCATCTCCCTGCTCTTTCATACTGAGAATAGATAATAAACCAACAGCCTCTATGGGCTGCTCGCCAAATGGAGTGAGAGAGGCTGTGAACAGCATTTTGGAAATCCAGGGGTGCATTTGACCCTGTCCCACCAAGCAACTCTCTTCTACCCATTTTAAAGCTATTTAAGGGCTGTGGAAAGTTCCTTGTTTTGTGAATTAGCCTGTTTGCTAAACAGAAAACAGATCCTTATTTGTCTACCAAAATTCCTTCATATGAAGGAACGTGCCCAGTTTGTTTTTTTTGTCAATTTAATGTGAAAGAAAACTAAATATCATCTGAGTGTGGTGCTAGAGCTGCTCACGCTAATCATTGAGGAGCATCCGAGCTTTTAGTGAGTCTTGGATTCAGCCCTTCCAAAAGAGGGGTAGGTGAAACAGGAAATGCCGTGTGTGTCAGTGAGTTTATGAACTGACGTGTTAAGCTATGAGACTATGTTCCTTGTTTATGGGTAAGGGGTTGTTTCAGACCTGTATTCTATAGTGTTTTTGCTCTTTTCAGATGATGGGTGGAAAGGGTCTTAAACATGCTTCCGAGATTGCTATATTAAATGCTAACTACATGGCAAAAAGACTAGAGAAACACTACAAAGTCCTTTTCAGAGGGGCAAGAGGCAAGTATTGAGCTTACTTTGTCTCCTGACATTCTGGTTTCTCCCAGCATCTCCTATAGCACTTTGGATTGTAGATGCGGTGTTTGCTTTAAACTGATGTGAGGGTTTTCAGTCCCAGCACATATTGAAAAACAGTGCATACACAGGAAAATAACTAGTTAGTGCTAATCCTAGACAGGAGCCAAAATGAAGCTAAGGTATTGGTAGAGGTGAAAAGTGCACTTTTGGTAATTAGTTGCAACGATGTTAAAAGTTGTAAATGAGTCTTCTGCCTGTCTTTGAACCAAAGATTGTTCTCCTCAAATTGGCAAGTAAGTCTTATTTTAATTTAAATAGTGAAAAAAACTGTTAAAAATAGGAAGTCATTGAGGTGAGACTGTAGTAATTCAATATAATATGCAGCACAGTAAGCAAAGAGAATTTTAAATGATTTCTTGTTCAATACCCACTATTACCACCCTAAAAAATGTCTGTGGTGATGCATGGCTGGTTTAGGAGACTAATCCAGATCTGTTTCAGTTCCCTAACACTTTTGTTATGAAATGTAACCTCTTTGGGGAATGGTTCAGCTATTGCCTACCCACTCTTTTTCCCCTTAAGGCAGGGCAGAAATTGTGAAGAATATCAGATTGCAAGTTTCAAGTCAGTAGAAGAAAGATCTTATTTTTGTGACTGCCTCTTCCTTGTTTCAATTGAATGGCATTAAAATGTCCAAAATGCATTCCATATACTCTGTAGCTATGTAAATACTTTACTTTAAAGCGAGTAAAGATTGATTAAAGCTGCTGGCAGTATTTTAAAAATGTAGTTCACAGAAATACAAAGCTAAATCTCAAGTTTTTGAAAGATTCAGAAGTGAAATGTTCAATCTTCTATTCAAGAGTAACCCTATTTTTCTGGAATGGTGATGGCAATGTAGTTGGGGGGTCTCGGGTCACACTTGCACAAAAAGCCTGGAAGAAAGTATTTTCCTCTGGAGAATCCATGATCTTTCCCTTGTTACTCACCCAAGGGCCTGAGATATTAATAATCCTGCTTTTCTGGCAAGGCTGAATACAATTTTCTTCCTCAGCCCATTAGCAACTCTCAATATTGGTCATTCAAAAAAAATGAGCTACTGTTTTCTTTCAGAATTTGAGCATGCTCCTTTCTCAGGACCTGCTGACCTGGGGAGCTTATGAGCCAAACACTAATCATGTGGCAGTACAGTCCTGCTTCATTATTGGACAGGCCTGAAAATGTACTTAACCTAAATTGTACAGGAGGAAAGGCATGTACATAATAAGAATATACCTTGGGAGGATATGCTCACATATAAGAGGAGCTGCTTTGAGCATTTGTCTGATTCTTCTCTTGCTAAATCTAATGCGCTCCAACACAAAGTGTTGTTTCTGTATGTGTACCAAGGAAATTTGTTTTTAAAAGTAATCATTTAAAAGTGTGGCGATGGAGAGGCAAGGGGAGGGCAAATAAATATTCAAATACACTTGTAGTTCACATAGTCTCTTAAATGTGCACTCGTGAAACTGCAGTCTCCAACTGGACAGTCCTTGGGCATCCTGGAGATGCGTACTCCACAAAGCCACAGGAACAGAAATGTGGTATTAAAATTGAGGCCAATGTGCAGTTCTGCTCTGTTCTTCAACAAGTGAGATCAGTATGTAACCTTTGTTCACTTACAGGTTATGTAGCTCATGAATTTATTTTGGACGCCAGACCCTTCAAGAAAACAGCAAATGTTGAAGCTGTGGATGTGGCAAAGAGGCTTCAGGACTATGGTGAGAGAGTCCTAAAAGGACATGGCATTTACAGCAGTAAAGACTAAAATTTCTTAAACCTACCTTCAAGGGCTACATTAAGATTCTAGTCCTCTAGTGTTCTGTAGCAACATAGTGGCTCCTATACCACCACCCTCTTATCCCCTTATATTGACTGTTTTTGGACAATCTCCAGCTGCTGGAATGCCGCCTTGGAGCTATGGGCATCCAGCACAGATGCTGTTCTTTGTTGCACCGGGCAAGAGCAAAAGGGACTTACTGTTAACTTTGCAGCCCCCTCCTGGGCTGTGCAGGGCACATGCAGACAGGATCTGAGGATCTGGCTTAGTCCAAGAACTTTGTGGGATTCAAACAAGGTTAAACCTCTGTATGGAAAATGAGAGCATCTATAGTTATGTTAAATAGTTTAAATCCTTAAACTTTTCTTATGCTTCATGGCATAGGTCAGCCACTGATGGAGGTTAGGAAGAAACTTCCACTGTGGGCAAAGTATTCCTTAATTAGCCATTATGCCATTTCTTGCACCTTCCTGAAGCATCGACAACTGGCTACTGTCAGACAAGATACTGGACTACATGGACTGCTGTCACTGGTCTGATCCTTTATAGCAACTGTTATGTTCCTAAGTTAACATGGGCAGCTGTCACTAAAATGCCATCCTGTAAGAGATTCTCAGTAAAATAACAGGGGTAGCCGTGTTAGTCTGGATCTGTAAAAAGCGACAAAGGGTCTGACGAAGTGGGTATTCACCCATGAAAGCTTATGCTCCAATACGTCTGTTAGTCTATAAGGTGCCAAAGGACTCTTTGTCGCTTTCAATAAAATAACTAATCCTAAAATCAGTTTTAACTGTTTGGTACCAGGAAAAAAATCCTCCCTGCTCGCTGTAGTGATCTGCTTCTGTCCGGGAAAGGGCACATCACACCATTTGAAAATAGATAGGTAATGGCTTCAGTGTTTATGATGTGGATCCATCTGGTTGGTAGAAGTTCCAGTTGACCTTCTTCCAAGGTGGCTTAGACCTGGCTTACTTAAAAATAGTGACAACCGGACAGTTACTAGCCTACTCCTTTTACCTCACCCAATCCCTCCTACAGTGGTGCTATCTTCCTTTCGCTTGGTGCCCCACGTCTGCACCAATGTTCCCTCTATTTTTTTCCACCCATGTGCGGAATACATTTTGTTAAGTGCTCCAAGGTAATGTGCGAATGTGCACCACCAGTAGAAACAGAAACCCTAGATACAGTAAAAGTTGTTTTCTGGTTGGTGAAGTGCCAGATTAAGCTCTATGAACTGGCATTTCTGATCTTCCAGTTTATGGTCTGGTTGTTGTGGGGCCGGCAGAGGGTTGGGGGGGAAGGAGAGGGTGCAGGGCACAGGCTCGGGGAGGGAATGTGGATGTGGGAGAGACCTCGGGGCAGCAGGTTGGGGTGCAGGATCCAGAGGGCGCTCAGCTCAGGCGGGTCCCCGCAAGGGGCAACCTGTCCCGGTTGCTCCTAGGCAGAGGCGCAGCAGGTGGCTCCGCATGCTGCCCCACCCTGAGCGCTAGCTCTGCAGTTCCCATTGGCTGGGAACCGCGGCCAATGGGAGTGCGGGGGTGGCGGAGGCAGAGCACAGAGCAGTCTGCCGTGCCTCCGCCTAGGAGCAGCTGGGACAGAAGCTGTGGGGAGCTGCCCGAAGTGAGCGCCACCCTGGATCCCACACCCTCTCCCGTGCCCCAGCCCGCTGCCCCAAGCCTCCTCCTGCACCCAAACTCCCTCCCAGAGCCTGCGCCCCCCCCCAACCCCCTCAGCCATGCACCCAAACACTCTCCCTCTTAGTTAACTGGCATTTTTCACTTACCGGCACCCCCATTCCCCCAACATGCTGGATAAAACTGCTTTTACTGTATAATATATATTTTTAAAAAGTTACCAATAGGGATAATTACTCTAGCCAGGACAAGTTAGGCATTTTAGAACTCACTACTCAAAGAATTAAGTTTAAGTGTAAGAGCGAGATAAAAATTATGAAATGCACAGACCAGTCAAAAAACTAAAATAACAGCACTTTAAAAGAATAAAATTACAGAGAATATATGTACATTGCAGGAAGTACCAAGAAGTAACAAGTGCTGGGAGGTAGGGTGTGTGCGTGTGTGTGTGCGTGTGTGTTTTGGCTGCTGGGGAAGTCTCTGAGACCGTGCACTGTCTCTTTAAGGCACACACTCACCTGAAGGCTTGTTGAGAGCTGGTGTGAGTCCTGAGCCATCCCCTCTACCCTTGTTTGTGGAGATGGGGTACAGGGGCTGGGGGAGGGAGACATCTTGACATCAGCACCCTCCTTTCGCTTCCCCCCTGCCCCCACATAGCCAGCAGGAGGGTCCCAGCAGCAGCTGTTTGAGGGGGGAAACACCTGGACACATTCTGTTGGATTTGCCTGGCTCTGCTAATCAACTATGGCGCACTTGAATCTCTCCTGGGCAGCCGCCCAACTGCGCAGCTCACAGGGAACAGAAGGTCTGCACCATTCTCAACTTTCATAATCTGTCTGACAGCCTGTCGTAAGAGAGGGTGAAAAAGTGACTGACTGACTGCAAGGATGGATGTGAAGGGAAGAGGCCAGAAACATTGCTTTTGGGAAGAAATTATTTGCTTTGAACACCAGACCAAAAAGAAGGCCAAGGATTCAGGCTTTCATATCTCATGTAGTCTGAAGACTTCTGGCTTTCTATGTACTGTAGACAATACTATGAAATTGGTGGTTTTCCTTTTGGACTGAGACTGGTGTGCTTTGAGATTTTAACTTCTGTCATATATGCCCCCTGGCATGTTGCCCAGCTGTATGTTTTTTTAGTCTGACACTAACGAGTGAAGGTCTGTGTAAAGCAACTGTAATTAAGAACTTCCTTTTTCAGCTTTTATGAAAACCAAACACATCAGTTGCTCGTTAATACTCTTACTGGTTTACAAGTACTCTGTAATCAGTGATGGGATTCCTTTTAATTCAGGCTTCCATGCTCCAACAATGTCCTGGCCAGTGGCAGGGACCCTTATGATTGAACCAACGGAATCTGAAGACAAAGCAGAGCTGGACAGATTTTGTGATGCAATGATCAACATTCGTCAAGAAATTGCTGAAATAGAGGAAGGCAGAATGGACTCCAGGGTTAACCCATTAAAGGTGAGCTGACATTCACTCCAACTTCGCAACGCCACTGTCTCCATTGCTGCTGTTTGAAGTCATCTTATTTGTAGTGCTACCAAAAAAATTCTGAAATTTTCAGTACTGTGGGAAACTTATTGTATGCAAATGAGAATATGAAACAGTGAAGGAATAAAACATTCATTGATGTGCAAATTTGAGTGAATATTGGTCTAAATTTCACAGATCTTTGGTGCATTTAAAGGGTTCCATCAACTTAAATGCTTTCCCCTGAAATCTTTTAGACTTGACCTAGTCAGAAGTCCTGTCTATGGTGACTATCTGATAGACTGGAGAAAAAATTCTGAAAAGTTTGTGAACAGTGTGTATATTATTTTAGTTTTTCATGTTTGTATTTTCTTGGTCTTTTACATAGTAATGGGTGAATGACACTCACTTATTCAGAGGAGGCAACCAACCCCAAAACTTGATCGTAAAAACATAAAAATTGGAAGAGGCACTTGAGCACATATAGTACTCAAAACTACCTGTAACTCATCTTTGAAAACTCATTCTGTGTTTCAAGTTGATTGCACCTTCTCTAACGTTGCACTGGGCTTTTAAATACCTGACTTATTTTTTCTTTGTATTGGGGTTGTAACCACATTGGTTCCAGGAGATGAGACACAAGGTAATATCCCCTATGGATCAACTTTGGTTGGTGAAAGAGAAGCTTTTGAGCTGCACAGAGCTCTTAGACCTGAAGAAGTCGGTGTAGCTTGAAGTCTCTCTCGCCCCTTCACCTCCTCCTCCTCCCCCAAAGTTAAATGGGTTGGAACTTGTACTGTAATGGGAATGAGGAATACAGCTGCCAAACACCAAAGTTATGGAGTGGAGAAGAATCTGATTACTGCTACTGTTCTTGTATTCAGAAATCTAGCAAGGCAAAAGGAACAAAAATTCATGGCCACAACTATAACCAGTTGCATTATGCTCCAGCCTCTCTCCACTTTCCTATTTTATTTTCATCTTTGAAGTAATGTAAACTCTATACTAAAGCTGAAAAAAAATTGTATATGGATATTCTGAATCACTTCAGTCCATTTCCTTTTTTTAAATCCGTCTTTCGGTTGTTGATTAAACATGCTGTATCCTCTCAGCACTCATCTGAACTATTGAAGATGTTGTAGCAGCAATATATGGATTTGTGGGGGTCTGTAGACTGAAATGTTTCACTGAATCCAGTTCTCCTGCAAGTTTTAACTAGCTTTTATTCTGTTGTAGATGTCGCCACACACTCTGACTTGCATTACGTCCCCTAACTGGGATCGTCCTTATTCCAGAGAAGTAGCAGCTTTCCCACTAGTAAGTAGCTATTTAATCTTAGTATCTCTTAATTACCAATGTTCACTAGTTTGTGGCTCCATTCTTGGTTGGTTGTTAGTCTGGCAGTATCTCTTGAGCCTAGACATGGAGAATATTTTAGTAAGCCCAACTAATCTAATAAATATTTATCCTATTTACATACTTTCATTTAATGGTTTAGATATGATCTATAGCAAGTGTACTATTTTCCTTTCAGTAAACAGGAAGATAAGTACTGTTTGACTTCAGCATTCTGCAAAACATGCTCTCTACCTACCTTACCCTGGCTTTCTAACACCCCACCCTTGCCCCTGAGAGAAGCTAGGTAGGAATCCCCTCAGTTCCATTCCTTCTGTGCAAGGTTTTCTGTGTTACAGTAGTGCTAGGATCCCTAATAAAAGATCAGAGTTCTATGGACTTAGGCACTACACAGACTCCATCGCAAAGAACTCTGTTTAGATTCTGGCAAGATGCTGACTGACGGGGAGGGGGAAGTTGTTTGCTTTACAGTCATATGAGGCCCTTTTGAGATGAGGAATGCAAGCTTATACTGCTATAGGGCACTCTGGAAGTCTTTCAAAGGAGCGGGCAGACCTTTGATCTTATGTTTTGATACCTAAATGATGCTAGTGCATCCTGGATAGACGTTGAGCTAATGAATGGTACCTCACCAATTCTAAACACGTTTTCTGTATTTAGCCATTTGTGAAGCCTGAAAGCAAATTTTGGCCCACAATTGCTCGAATCGATGACATCTATGGAGATCAGCATCTGGTTTGTACCTGCCCACCAATGGAAGTCTATGAATCTCCCTTTTCTGAACAGAAGAGAGCATCCTCCTAGGTCTTACCCCTTTATTTCCAGGTGGCTGGATTCATGCCTTACCACTGCATTTCAGTTCACCACGACGGCGTTCTTTTTCCCTGCACCCGATAAGGGGATTTATATACTATGTATATTTTTGTAATCTCCATACTGTTAATTGAACTGCTCAGTTAAAATGTAAATACAATCACTATAGGAGGTGGAAGCAAACTGAGTTGATTCAGTACCTCAGTATCAAAAGCAGTTAATGTTACAGTTGCCTTGATTCAGCACCTTTTGTCTTCTGTTCAGAGTGATGACCTCTTTGTGTGCTACGGACTTTAAATAATAACATAGAATTTTTCGAGGTTGTAAGGAAAGCTGAATAATTTTTATTCCAGGTATTTCATATGACAGTAACCATTAAATATTAACTGCTACAGTAGTTGTTTACATTTTGTATAAGCACAGGAACTAGATTTTGTTATTAATGTACCTAATCTGTTACCACGGACTGCGGTGGTGGTAATTGTTTAATAATAAACTGTGGTATTTTTGTTTTTTACCTGTCAATGCTTATATTCCAATAAAGTCTACTAGAGTTTTCAGAATGGCTTTTTTTGGGGGGGTCTGGCTTTTCCCAGTCTAATTTTTCTTTGGTATTGAGTTGTCAAAGATGCCAGAAGAGATGTAGATCCTCCAAGAAGTGACAGCTGCTGTCAAATCTGTTTGAGATACTACCAAAAAAACACATCAAAGTAATTTATTCAACTTCTGTGCCCATCTCCCAGTAATGAAAGTGCCTTCTTTCTGTCCCCTGGACCTCTCCTCAGGTCTTTCGTAATGAAAAGACACAATAGTATATCCCTTAAATAAATTAAAATCAAGCTTTTATGTAGGTGCTGAAGAGTTGCAACCTGAACTATTGTTTGGGTACTATGGTGATGGGAGCCATATAATTAGGGCCTTGTGTATTTTTTTTTTTAAGAAAATTCATGACAAAATGGCAAAGTATTGAGTTTCATGGTGTTTGCACAGAATGACCTGTACAAATAGTCAATTGCAAGGCTGGAATGACACTGACTAAAATTGACTCAGGTTACTGGTAAAATTCATTCCCTCCTTGAGAGCTTCCTTTAAAAAAAAATAGAAGTTTAGTGTTTGGGAGTATTTTCACAATTTCCATGCCCTCTATGAAATCATGTTACACAGGGCCATACATATAATTAGCTGTATCTGGTAAATGAAACATTACAGTTAAAGATTGTGGGGTAGGGGAAGGAAAGTTTTTTTTTTTTAAAATCTTAGTCCCTTTACAATGTGACATTCAAATCAACAATACTTTTGAGGTACAAATTTTTTTTTCCAGATTTTTTTCACTGGAAGGTGTGATTAGCTCAATTACAGCACCTACAGTTTCACCTCAACATGAAACAATGAAAAACTAAACAATAGCAGAACTAAAAATAACCTTCACTTGAAAATGTCTCTCTTACAATAGACACTAGATCTAAAGGGTCTCCATCCTATATCTTAGACCTCAACTTTTACCCACTATCCCTTTTACAAGTTAGTCTGCTCTTGCTCTGAAATGTCTCCATAGATGCCCTAGTCTGAGTAGTGTTCAAAGATGTACCCCAAAGTATTCAAACCCGTAAAGCCAAACTAGGTGTGACTTCAGTGGGCACAGGGATTATTCTTAAAATGGAAGCATGCAGAATCCCCATCAGTTTTTAATTTTGCATCTGCCCTCTGAATTTGGGGCTGCTGCTTTTTGTGCACAGATGTTTAGTTGTTTGACACATCACAGAAGCACTTCTGCCACTCTACTTATCAATGCATTGTTAGCTTCTCTAACCACTGTAGTGATGATTTTTAAAACGGAAAAAAAAAATACACATCAAGTTTTGCTGCCATTACCTGAAAGTGAGATCACTTCCTGGCTTTGGACTTCTGGGTGCAGATCTACGGAAGAGCTGAGCTCTCTTCACAATTGAATTTCCATTGTAGTTAGGGAGAGGCCCGTTTTTCCACAAAATATTGGGCTATGGTATTCTGTTGATGATGAAAGGATCCCCAGAAACTGTATTCTGGAAATGTTGTTAATCTTTAATAGGAAAAAGGCTGCTTATAATTCTCACCCCCTCCTGCTGAATCAGAGCTCCTGGCATTTTATAATTTTGTATTCAATTGTACAGTAGTCAATTGTAGAATATGAAATGCTGGAGTGACTCCAGCTCATGAGTAGAATTACAACCAGGTAGACATGTGCTAATTATATGGAATTAAGCCATGGAGATCAATTATTCTCAATGGGTGAGGCACCCTATTCTCTATATTATTTCCTGCAAACTAGTGTAAGCTGTTCTCTCTAGCCATGTCTAGAGTAGGAAAATAGATAGTTATCCATATTTGCAAATACTAGCTTGTTTTTAAGGATGGCTTTCTCAACTGTAGAAATGTCCAGTGTGGATAGGGTTAGTTCAAGATAGAGGATAGATTCCTGCAATTGAACCTAGATTTCTTTGCTATTATAGTGCCAATATACATAGATTAAGTTATCAATAGATACTGTCTTCCTTTACAAATATTTCAACTTGGCTAAAATGGTAACTCCATAATATATTCCATGGGGATGTGAAGTGACAAAAGCTGAATTTACATTTTGAAGTTACTATTGTACATCTTAGTGCAATGAAAGTGCAGTGATTGTAATTATCAGGTTACTGTAGATGATTAATCAGTTAACTCACACGATTAACTCATATTAATCGTGATTAAAAAAAATAGTGATTAATCACACTGTTAAACAGAATACCAATTGAAAATTACATTATTTTTGGAGGTTTTTCTACATTTTCAAATATCAATTTCAATTACAACAAAGAATACAAAGTGTACAGTGCTCACTTTATATTTTTTTATTACAAATGGTTGCACTGCAAAAATGATTAGTATTTTTCAGTTCACCTCATACAAGTACTGTAGTGCAACCTCTTTATCATGAAAGTGCAATTTACAAATGTAGTTTTTGTTACATAACTGCACTCAAAAACAAAACAATGTAAAACTTTAGAACCTATGAGTCCACTCAGTCCTACTTGTTCAGCCAATCACTAAGAGAAACACATTTGTTTACATTTACAGTAGATAATGCAGCCCACTTCTTAATTACAACGTAACCTGAAAGTGAGAACAGGCCCTTCATATGGCACTGTTGTAGCTGGCGTCGCAAGATATTTACATGCCAGTTGCGCTAAAGATTCATATGCCTCTTCATGCTTCGGCCATCGTTCCAGAGGAGACGCTTCCATGCTGATGCAGCAAAGAGTCCTATGGCACCTTATAGACTAACAGACGTATAGGAGCATGAGCTTTCATGGGTGAATACCCACTTCTTCGGATGCATGTAGCCAGACTAACACGGCTACCCCTTTGATACTTGACACCATGCTCATTAAAAAAATAATGCGTTAATTAAATGTGTGACTGAACTGCTTGGGGGAGAACTGTATGTCTCCTGCTCTTTCTTACCTGCATTCTGCCATATATTTCATGTTATAGCAGTCTTGGATGATGACCCAGCACGTTTGTTTTAAGAACACTTTCACTGCAAATTTGACACAATGCAAAGAAGATACCAATGTTAAACCTTGGGTCGAGTGCTGTAGCTATCTTTAGAAATTTAAGAATCTGCAGTGCCTTCCAAAATCTGAGGATGAGGTGTGGCTTATGCTTTCAGAAGTCTTAAAAGAGCAACACACTGATGCAGAAACTACAGAAGGTGAACCACCAAAAAAGAAAATCAACTTTCTGCTGGTGGCATCTGACTCAAATGATAAAAATGAACATGCATCGGTCCGCACTGCTTTGGATAGTTAGCGAGCAGAACCAGTCATCAGCATTATCTTCTGCAAATGTAAACAAACGTGTTTCTCTTGGCCATTGACTGAACAAGAAGTAGGATTGATTGGACTTCTAGGCTCTAAAGTTTTACATTGTTTTGTTTTAGAATGCAGGGGTTTTTTGTCCATAATTCTACATTTGTAAGTTCAACTTTCATGATAAAGAGATTGCACTACAGTACTTGTATTAGATGAATTGAAATATACTATTTTTGTTTTTTACAGCAAATATTTGTAATCAAAAATAAATATGAAGTGAGCATGGTACACTTTGTATTTTGTGTTATAATTGAAATCAATACATTTGAAAATGTAGAAAACATCCAAAAATATTTAAATAAATGGTATTCTATTGTTGTTTACAGTGCGATTAATTTTTAAATCGCACAATTAATTACAAGAAACTGCCCTGATGTAAAAGCTCTACTGTAGATTGCATCACTGCACAGTTCGAAGCAGGCACGAACCCCATCATGAAAGCAGTGTCTTTGTCTGTCTGCACTAGGAGTTTGCACCACTGCAGCAACAGCCATGGCTGGGTACCAATGAATGTACCTGGTCTGAATCCTCACTGCAGATAAAGCTTAAGTTATTACTTGGGACTTGCCATTTTGCCGTGACGGAGAAAATGATGTTTCATTTCCAGCCATTTCAGCTCGATTCTTCAGGCTACTTCCTACATACTCAGCATTCCTCAGCTCCTTCTCCCTGACCCAGCTTTTCACAGAAAGCCAGAACTTTTCAACGAGGGCTGTCAACCCTCCAGGGTTGGCCGGGAGTCTCCTGGAATTGGCACTGATCGCCCAGTGACTATTGAAAGCAATCCAGGAAATGTTAATAGGATATTTTAAGAAAATGACATGATGTCATGTTGGGGGGAAAAATCTCCCAGAATAGCTTCAGTCAGAGTTGGTAACCCTAAGGTTAACCCCATCCTTGGGACCAAGTTGGAGCTACAGCAACTTGGGTAATTTGCAAGATGACAGTCTGACCGCAAAGAGTGGCAATATCCCTACCTCAGAACATGTTCCACAGTCTCTAAACCCATTGTCCTTGTTTTTAGACATGCCTACAGGCCTCATGATTGTGGCTTCCTGCCTCCACACAGTTCCTTAAGCCAGTACTTTCCTCACAAAGAATTAAGTCCACATGGTGGCAGTGAAAGGAAGGTATTGCTTAGCTAAGACAGAAGCAGGGACCCTTTTCTCCCTTCCCCTCCCCTCCTGCTTTTTCCAACCAAAAGCAGTGCACTGTCCCTGCCATAAAAGGTGTGCAATGCTTTCACTTTGCAAATCTCATCAACTTCTGCAGAAGAGAAGAATCATGGCTTCTCTGGCAGCTTAGCAGCAGAAGAGGGTGAAGTGGAAGACAGCTGAAACAGAAGATCTGGATGTTGGATTCACAGAAGGAATGGTATCACACCAGCCCCAGAAATCTGTGGGATCAAGGGAAAGGTTTATAGATGCCTAGTAAGACACAGTAAAGGAAATTGGAATATTGAATGTTGGGAAGATGTAGAGCCCCACTGAGGGCAAGGAAGAGAAACCTCTTTTTGTCAGCAGAAGGGGTGACCTGCAAACCACAGGAAATTTTCAGCTTTCCTAGGTATTTGGGTACTATTGAGTACTGAATTGTAATTATGGATCCTTAATCTATCTAGATTCTTATGAAAACAGCTTACCCATATTTCTTCAAGTAGTATAGCTATTGGTGCTCCACGGCTGGTGCCCATGCAACCCTTCTTGCCTTTGATGGGAGATTTTTCAGTAGCAATGCCCGTTCGGCCCAGACATCCACCACCATCTTAGGCTGTACAGCCAACTGCATCTTTTCTGAACTGATTTACTAAAGGTGATCCTCAATATCAAAGATGCATTAGTAGTACCATTCCATTATTTTTGCAAGAATTGGATTGCTGTGTTATAATTTGGAAAACACCATAAGTTATATCTTTGATATATTAAAATCTTGTCAGGCAAAAGTTAAAATTTAGTTAACAGCTAAGACAGAAACCGCAGAACAAGCAGGAATGCTTCAGTAGCATTCAGTAGCAAGGACACCTACACCTGTAAACAATTGATAAGCTTATATGGTCAATGCCCGCCCAGTAACTCAGCTCTTAGAACAGAATAAACCCTCCCTTCACAGCCCACCGGTTATCTTTAAGCACTCATCCCTACCCCCCACCCTGCCTCCTTCCCCCGCAAGGTAGTCACAGACAGGGCCGGCTCCAGCGTTTTTGCCGCCCCAAGCGACGGAACAAAACAAAAAAAAGCCGCGATCGGCGGCAGCTCTACCGCCACCGCTTCATTATTCTTCGGCGGCAATTCGGCAGCAGGTCTTTCCCTCCGAGAGGGGCCGAGGGACCCGCCGCCGAAGAGCCGGATGTGCCGCCCCTCTCCGTTGGCCGCCCCAAGCACCTGCTTGCTGCTCTGGTGCCCGGAGCCGGCCCTGGTCACAGACGTTTGATGCAATTAGGATGACCTCTATATGTACGTACTTTTCTTATTTTTGTCTTTGTTCAGGGTTCTCTCTTAACTTGTAACAGTGTCTGTCTCTGTATGTACAGATAAATGCAAATGAATTGATAAGAGAATGTATATAACTGGCCACTATGGCACCATATTTTTGAAGCTGCTTGTCAGTCTTCCTGGTACCGTGAATAAACCCCTTTCAGTATTGTCTGTGCTTGCCAGATTCTTGGGGAAAAGAATCTTTTTGCCCAACAATCTAACTGAATATACCTCGAACAACAACCAGTAAAGACGTTTAAGCCTTCCGAATAGTGCCTCTAAATGATGATAGAGCTTACTTACTTTGCAAAGTTCAGGACAGAGACTTTTGCCAAGTGTCCGCACATTGCTTAGCAAAGTAGGACTGAAAACTCCAACTGTTACTGGAATATAAGCGAACAGTTGTATGGAAACCTTCAGTTGCACCTGAACAGGGTCTCTACAAGAGGCACATAACTCTAAAAGCTCTGGCTGTTGCACCAACCTTGCAGGGGTTATTTTGGTGTTGCCAGTTGAAATAGAAAGAATATATTGTCTAAAATGTGAGTAAATTCAGTTCAGGTTTTATTGCCAATAAGGAGTATGTGTTGCTAAAACTAAGTGTGGCACATTAAGAAATTCCTATTAAGTAGTCAAACAGTTTCTGCATTTATTAAATCCAGAGACACCAAAATCAGTCTAGCAGGTGCCTCTGTGCTGATAGCCTGAGACCTTAGAAGTGGGTGTCTGAAAATTCTAACTCTTAATTCCAAAGTTATTTGCTGTAAAAGCCACTTGAGGCACCAGAATGAAATCATGTTTAATTATTATAAAAAGCACATGAAATACCACTGCACATTGGCCTGTAAATATGGTTGAAAGCAAACTCCAGCTCTAGAGGGCCTTGTTCAGTTGCTGCACTGCCCTTCTTGAAGAGGCCTTGTCACGTTGAGTTTCTTCCCATCAAGTGGGCTTTGTTCTGTCCAGTACGGATACAAGACATGGTTGTTCTTGGTGTGATTTCCTCCCAAATCCAATCTTATAAAAACATTAGAAATGTACCATGTTAACCATTTTAGTGGTAGGTTCTCCTCCTGCTAACTGCTAGTGCCAAAACTAATTAAACTGCAGAACTTCCTAGGCCTGGCTTTGTAAGTCATGCACTCCCTTAAGCCAGCCACTACACCGAACTGATGATAATGGGAGAAGTCCTAGTGAAACCCCACACTATTCTTAATTAGGAAAATAAATGTTAAATTGAAACTTAAGAACTGCTTTTTGCATAGTTAGGCACTCCAATTATTTATAGAACTGGATTCTGTGCAGTTCTTATTTGAAATCACTGGCATTTGCACACAAACAGTTTAAGCCTAACTTGGAACATATTATTAAGTGCTTTGGTACAATGCACAATTTCAGATTGTTTTAAATTTAATCTCACTTCAGATTTGAAGAAGTATTGTTCACCTTATTCATTCATCTAAATTTGAGGCACAATATGAACATTCAGGAAAAGCTTTAGGAACAGTGGTAACAAGCTACAGTTAAACAGTCAGACTATTACTGAAGATTTCTCTTTCTCCATTGAAAAGTTTTATGGCATTGAGAAGATTTTAATATTAAAATGGTATATTATTACTCAGTCTCTGAGTACGTTAGTCTCTGAATCTCTGTTATGACTGTCAAATGAGTGTTAATTGCTACTAATTATCAGACAGGTAAGGCTATCATAAAAGGTACCATAAAGACTTTACAGAACCTAAATATAACTTGGAAATAGCACAGAATTGAGTGCGTGTATCTTGCACATGTCATGTTATTGTAGACTGCTTCACTATAGTGGGCATGCTGTCTACAATGAAAATATATTACTAATCAGTGAAGGTTTTAACCAGAAGAATAGTCAGGCTACCATTTTCAAAAGAACCGAAAGAAACTCAGTCAATATCAAAGGAATTTGGACATCTGTCTAAGGTTCTTTTGAAAGTCTGAGCCTCAATGTTCATAGGTCTGTTTGAAGGATGACGTTGGAACCAATTTCATTCTATGTTAAGTACAGGAAAAAGCCAAAGGGAGAATTATTCTATTTCCTCAAATTTTTGCTCAACAGAAGCCTTTTGGGCAGTGAGAGTGGGTCGGGATATCTAACATTGGTGGCTGTACATTTTGCATTAGTAAACTTGCAGTGGAAATTCTATCTCCTGGAATGAAAGAGAAATGTTACTTTAGACAGAAGTCTAAAAGGTCATAAAATTAATAAAAGGTCAAACATATTACTACTTTCCTGATGAATGGGTTAAAAGTAATGCTATTCCAAGCTTATCAGATACCTATACCAGGACTAATAATAGAAGGGTTAGGTGATTTGTTTCTCCTCCACTTTTCATAAGACAAACTGAGTATTCTCTCACATTTAGATTTCTTCTGTTGTGACTCTGGTAAGCAAACATGTTAAACGACTGAACTCATTGCTGCCAAGATATAAAAAGAAGACCCCAATCAAAGTAGGGTTTGGGTTTATTTTAAATCCTTGGTCTGAAACGTATCTCTAAGAGTGAAAACTTACCACTAGCGCAAACCTTAGATTACATTTTGAGACCATTAGATATCTGTTAAACCTACCAACAACGGGTTAAGTTCTTCTGTCCTTAAAGCAGACTGTGGCCCAATATATTCATTATTTGTCCTCGTTACCAACATCTGAAATGCAAGTTCATATAATACCCCGTTTTAAGTATAAAAAGCCCACCTGAAGAAAACATTTACTACAAAAAAGTACTTGTTTGTTAAATATGATTTAGGCTACATGGTTGTTACAATACAAAGCAACAATAATTAGCAACTTTTTCTGAATCATAAAATATTTAATGTATATTTTGGGGGAATATACTGTATATAAAATTTCAGATCACAATATGAAGCGATTTGAACTGTCTCCAAGCTAGCACTGCCTTCAATGCTGAGTAGATGTATTGCCACTGATACAAGTCCTACTAAAAGCATACAGTTTTAACTAATACAAAAGTGGCTTGTTTCATATGAATTCTTTTTTTTACACAACTAGAGTGTCTTGAATACCCTCCTTAAGTGCAAAAAACACAGATCACTTTACACTAATGTAGCAACAATGCATTCATATTGTTCTCATTAGTCATTAGTAGTCAACTTGCATAAGATACAAGAAAAAGCACAATGAAGCTCACAAAAATAGACTAAAAATCAGCCTGTTCTTGCAAAAAAAGAAAAAAAGAAAAAAATGCAGCATAATGGGGAAAAAAAGAAAGAAGGATTATGCACACCACAGAATTTTTTGTTCTTTAATCAAACTGGTTTAAGTGCTGCTTTTTTTTTTTGTTTTGTTTTTTTTTGTAAATCAAACTGCCTGGACCAGGCACAACTAATATTCAGGAGGCAGTGTGTAGCTAAAACTTCACTGAACTTCTTTTAATCCCCACAAATTATCTTCCTCTGTCCTGAGGTAGTTACAAAAAACCAACATAATGTAAGCATCAGCTACAGTTGGCCAGTCAGAGCTGAGGCTTTTGTTTTTCTGTTTTAAAAACTAGTTGTCAACTGGCCAAGACTACCTTTGATGGTGAAAGACAGCTGAGAATTTGAGTTCTCACTACACAAAAGAGATGGCTGTAGGGGGAAGAGAGCTGCTTCAGAATGTGACAATATGTTGAGTCCCATCAAGTTGGCTGGTCCACTGTTGAATTTCCCATGTTTATTCTCCTTTATTGTCTATAGTCACTGGGAGAAGTCAGGTAGGAGCTGAACATATCATCGTCCTTTGCTGTACCCAGGGAAGAACTGGTCAAGTAGTGTCTGCAGTATCTTGTTGGGAACCATGGTGTAGCCCTTCCCAAGGTCATGGCGGCAGGCAGGGCAGGTGAAGACTTCAGCTCGGAAGGAGCGCTGTAAACAGCTCTAAGACACGCAAGGAAAGAAAATTACAGCTTTTCTTTGTGCTGAACAACTAGCTAAGCAACTACTAGGGAGCAAACGTAGTGCTCAGCATAGCTAGAACTGTTACTAAGCTGTTACTAAGTCTTCTGATACACATTCTTGCCGTTACACAGAGGAAGACAACAAAGAACTCTGTTCTTGGCTACATTACAAGCAGTAAGTTTGGCATGAATGAAAGTACAGGTCACCAGGGAAGGACTCCACTTCCCCCCGCCTCTCTGCGGGTAGGAGAGCTCCGTCTGCAGATTCTTTTTAGCATTCCTGCTAAACTTCTCAAACATCCCAGCCATTCATTTCAAGCTATGACTCTGAATAGGCAGTTGTAGCTTATATCTAAACTTTTATGAACTTGCTAGGGCTTTGCAAATTCTTCCCTAATTCTTCCTTTCTTATTTTTTTTATCTAAATACTTTTTTTAATACTTATTTTTATTAAGCTTACTATGCACCCGCTAAATAAATAAATAAAGCTTACTAATTGTATACAAGACAAAAAATCCAGGGCAAATGTCTAATGGTGTAAGTACTAAACAAAACAAAAAACATGCAGTCCACATCTACTCCATCTTTATGAAAGATCCCAATATTCAATCCTCAAGGGGGATATGTAGAATAATCATACACATGGTATTCCACAAAATCTATACCAAACATTTACAAATAAATATCCTATTCCCCTCTCGGTTGTCCCCAGGTCTCCAAGTGACCCCTTTTTGTCCTTCCCTAGGCATGTGGGTGGAGAAGGCAGAGCAGAATCTCATGGAACAGAGCCAGCCTCTGGGAGCAGCAGGGGCAAGGAGAATCTCAGCTCCTGGGCAGCAGTTATAGTAGCAGACTGTTCTGTACAATTTGAACTCTGGACATTGTTTTCTTCCCTCATGGTCATTCTGTTGCCACCCTCATTATCCTTGTCCTTTGGGATCCTCACCATCTATCCAGCCTTCTTCATTCCCTTCCTCTCTTTCCTTTATTTTTTCCACTCCCTTACTTCTGTTCATTCACCCCATCATGATAGTCCTGGCCAACGTTCCCTCTTATTTTTTATGTCCATGTGCGGAATGAATTTTGTTATGTGCACCAATATGGAGGTGATGTGTGGTGGGGGTGGGGCCAATGGGTTTGGAGTGTGGGCGGGGGCTCAGGGCTGGGGTGCAGGGAGTGAGGGCTCTGGCTAGGGGTGCGAGCTCTAGGGTAGAGCCAGGGATGAGGAGATTGGGGTGCGGGAGGGGGCTCAGGGCTCGGGCAGAGGGCTGGGGGGTGAGGGCTCTGGCTGAGGGTGCAGGCTCCGGGGTGCAGGCTGCCCCGGGGGCTGCAGCAGGGAGAGAGGACTCCCCCCAGCCCTCTCTCATCGGGGCCAGGGGAGAGGCACCTCTCCTGGGCCACGGCAGCTCCGGCGGATCTGGGCTGGACTGGGGGAGGTGCGCCTCTCTCCAGCCATGGCAGCTCTGGCTAGGCTCTGGCTGCACTGGGTTGGGGGAAGGGCGCCTCTCCCCGCCTGTGCAGCCCTTGATAGCCTGCTGCTCTTAGGAAGACACTGTGCCTTACCCTAAGTGTCTGTACAGCATCTGGAACAATGGAATCTATTTTTTGTTCAGGATCTCTCAGTGCTAGCATATCATAAATAATAATAAATAAGTGATCTGTGTTGTATGAGGTGCTAACACTAGTCTTAAAAATTAAACTTTGAGTAAATTTTGTACTTGGAAGATATAATGATCCAAGTACAGTTAAACCAAATTCTTGTTCTTCTACAGAGCTAGTAAATAACCTCTCTCTCCAATGCAATGGCAGAGCTATTCTCAGGCATGCACATCCCTTGAACTGTGACCACATAGCTAATATGTAAAAACATATTGGCAGAGAAAACGCATGCAACAGAGATAACTGATATAACAGAAGCAGATGTGACATGTACAATGCAGTGTATGTGTCTATAGATACATCCCTATACACAAATTCTCTCTCTCTCTCTCTCTCTCTCTCTCTCTCTCTCTCTCTGTATATGCAAAGTCTTTACAGATTCTAGTAAACATTGGATTCCATAAACTGCCTGGTATCCAAGTCTTCAAGTCTGAAAATATGAAGTTTATGTATATGAAGTCTTATGGCAATAAACTCAAGCAGCTCAATCTATTTAGCTTAACAAAGGGAAAGTTAAGGACTGACTTGATTACAGTCTATAAGCCCTACTTGATAAATGGGCTTTTCAATCTAGCAGAGAAAGATATAACACGATCCAATGACTGGAAGTTGAAGCTAGACAAATTCAGACTGGAAATAAGATGTACATTTTTAACACTGAGGTGATTAACCGTTGGAACAATTTAACAAGGGTCATGGTGGATTCTCTGTCACCAGCAAATTTTAATCAAGATTGGATTTTTTCTAAAAGATATGCTCTAGTGTAGGAATTATTTTGGGGAAATTTTATGGCCCATGTTATACAGGAGGTCAGACTAGATTATCACAATGATTCCTTCTGGCGTTGAAATCTACAAATTTAATATGATTTCCCAATGGGTGCCCATCAAATAGTGTTAAGACACCATAACTTACTCAGGTAATGAACCAATATAATTTGTATTGCGTTGTTTTATCTAATCATTTGTTGTAGAATTTGATATGCTGTGTTCTTTCCTAAATAGATGAAATTAGGTCTGTCTTATTGTGCCAAAGTCTAGCTATTGGACCAAGTCAGTCCCTAGTGTAATTTCATTGATTTCAAGGAGCAACACTAAAGGAAGTTTGACACGTCTGTTTAAAAACAAACAACAACAACAACAAAAACCTAATGCATTTCCATTATTAAAAAAAATATAAAATGGAAGAAAATACGGATTACTCATTTAAAATAAACCATAAATACACCAAATTGGGAGCAAACGTATTGCATTCCTTGGTCAGAATGCTTGGTATAATTATTGTCTTGCTAAAATATAGACTGGCTCAGTTGACTGGTGCCTCAATGCCAGAATCTCAATCCAGAGCAGGACAGAGTTTGTACTTACTTTACAGACGTTATGGAGGCACTCTGTTGTCACTGGCTGGTAAACCAGCTCCTGGCAGCAGACACACATAAAGGATTGTTCCAGTTTCTTCAGAAAATTCTAGTGTAGGGCAAAGGAAAGAAAAAATGGGATGAGAACGTTCTACTAACGGCACATCCATGAACATGGCAAACACATAAGAACGAATAATAGCCTTGTGCGGATTGTCTAAAAATTACTGTAGCTAATGTAGTTTTTAACAAGGGCAAATCATTTGCCCAACTACTGTAGTAATCACGCCTACTTAAAATATGTACAAATTTAAACCTGGTGAGTCAAATTTTGCTTTCATTTACACAGCTATAAATCCAGAGTAACTGAGAACAGAATTGGGGCCCATAAGTGTTTGGAAAAAGCACAAAGACCAGCCCATTCTCATATGACAGCTTCTACGTTCATCCATATTTTATATAAATGTTATTCTTTTCCTAAGCCTTGGGCTCTAAGCAGGCCAGGAGTTCCCGAGTTAGTGCTGATTAATAATTTTGCACAAGTGCCAAGACACTACACTTCTCCAAATATGATTACATGACAGCTTGATTTTGTAGGTAAGCATAGTTAGCTTGTTTATATTCTAGCTTCCTTTTTTCATACCAGACAGTCTGAATTGCACATTTCTTCCAAAAAGCCCACTGGTATTGCTCCCACACCTGCAGAAATATTGTGTGTCTAATATAGCCATGCACTCACCTTGTGCCAATGTTAATCTATTTCTATATTCTGCTCACCTCATGCTTGCATGACTGAACTGTTATTTACTGTTTCTTCTTAGATTGTAAACTTCTTAGGGAAGAACAATGCTAAGCACATTAATAATAAATAATAAACACTGAATTTGTTATACCTTTGTTTTTTCAATTGGCTTTAAATTCGTTATTTTGGATATTTGGTTGGGTTAAGTCTTCCTCAACCCTTCATACCCATGACAAATACAACCTGACGGAGTGGCCAGGAAGCTGGTCCATGGCCATGCTAAATTTCCTGCTTCTCCAAATCCTCCTGGGAATCCAGAGAAAAGACGGTTACTTACCTTCTGTAACTGTTGTTCTTCGAGATGTGTTGTTCACGTCCATTCCACATTAGGTGTGCGCGCGCCGCGTGCACGAATCGTCGGAAACTTTTTCCCTCAGCGGCTCCCGTCGGGCCCGCAGGGTCTCCCTTCCCGCCAGAGCGGCGCCCCGCCCTCGCGTATATATACCCCTGCCGGCCCGACCCTCCCTCAGTTCCTTCTTGCCGGTGACTCCGACAGAGGGGAAGGAGGGTGGGAAGTGGAATGGACGTGAACAACACATCTCAAAGAACAACAGTTACAGAAGGTAAGTAACCGTCTTTTCTTCTTCAAGTGCTTGTTCACGTCCATTCCACATTAGGTGACTCGCAAGCTTACCATTGGAGGAGGGTAGGAGTCAAGGAATAACTGATTGCAGCACCGCCCTGCCGACCACTGCATCATCTCTGGTCTGATGGTGGACCGCGTAGTGGGCTGTGAAGGTATGCACTGACGACCAGGTGGCTGCCTTGCAGATCTCCTGGAGCGGGACCTGTGCCAAGAAGGCCGTCGAGGACGCCTGGGCTCTAGTGGAGTGAGCCCTGATCTGAGGAGCAGGCATGTTGGCGAGCTCGTAACACGTACGTATGCAACTCACGATCCACGCCGACAGGCGTTGCGTAGAAATAGGCTGGCCCTTCATACGTTCCGCAACGGCCACAAACAGCTGAGACGATTTACGGAAAGGCCGGGTACGGTCCAGATAAAAAGCCAATGCCCGTCTAACATCCAGGGTATGTAGGCTGCGATGGCTTGGGTCCGTATGGGGCTTAGGGAAGAATACCGGTAAACAAATGTCTTGCCCCATGTGAAAATTCGTAACCACCTTTGGGAGGAATTTAGGGTGAGGCCTAAGCTGCACCTTATCTTTATAAAAGACAGTATAAGGGGGCTCCGAGGTGAGGGCCCTCAACTCCGACACCCTCCTAGCCGAGGTGATGGCCACGAGGAACGCGACCTTCCATGAAAGGTGCGTGAGGGAGCAAGGCCAGGGGTTCAAAGGGCGGCCCCATAAGCTTAGTGAGGACCAGATTGAGGTTCCACGGGGGTATAGGAGGGCGCGAGTAAGGGAACACCCGCTCCAGACCCTTGAGGAATCGGACCACCGTGGGGTTGGAGAACACGGATCTGCCCGATTCCCCAGGGTGGAACGCCGAAATGGCGGCCAGATGCACCTTAATAGAAGCGGGGGCGAGGCCTTGACGCTTGAGGTGCAGCAAGTAGTCCAGAATCAGTGGTATCGAGGCCTGTAAAGGCTGTGAGTGCTGAGGCTCACACCACAGGGAGAAGCGCTTCCACTTGGCCAGGTAGGCTGCCCTCGTGGAGGGTTTCCTACTACCAAGGAGGATTTGCTGGACCTCGTGGGAACACCTGTGCTCCACCTCACTTAACCAGAGAGAAGCCATGCCGTGAGATGCAGCGACGGCAGGTTCGGGTGGAGTAGGCGACCCCGCTCCTGAGTGATGAGGTCGTGATGGAGGGGAAGGGCTATCGGAGCGGTCACGGACAGTTCCAACAGAGTTGTGAACCAGTGTTGGCGTGGCCACGCCGGGGCGATTAGGATGACTGTCGCCCTGTCCCTGCGGGCCTTTAGCAGGACCCTGTGAATGAGTGGGAACGGGGGAAAGGCGTACTTCAGGCTTCCGCCCCACGGGATTGCAAAGGCGTCCGCCATTGAGCCTGGACTGTGACCCTGGAACGAGCAGAATTGCGGGCACTGGTTGTTGCCCTTGCTGGCAAACAGGTCCACCTGGGGAAACCCCCACCTCAGGAAAATAGAACGGAGGATGTCTCGTCTCAGCCTCCACTCGTGCCTGAGGTAGGACCGGCTGAGACGGTCCGCTAGCCCGTTCTGGACCCCGGGGAGATATGCTGCCCGAAGTTGTACTGAATGGGCTATGCAGAAGTCCCAGAGGAGGAGAGCCTCGTGACAGAGGGGAGAGGACCGGGACCTGCCCTGCTTGTTTATGTAAAACATAGCGGTAGTGTTGTCTGTCAGAACTGACACGCTGTGTCCCCTTATGGTGGCGTGAAAGGTCTGGCAGGCGAGGCGAACCGCCCTCAGCTCCTTCAGGTTGATGTGGAGCAGCCGTTCCTCCCTGGACCACAAGCCCTGAGTGCGCTGGTCCCCTAGGTGCGCTCCCCAACCCAGGTCCGACGCGTCTGTTACTAGCGTCAGAGTCGGTTGAGGGGCGGCAAACGGGACCCCCGCGCAAACCTGCTGTTGATCGAGCCACCAACGGAGGGCGTTCGACACCCGAGCCGGGATCGTGACGACCATGTCCAAGGGGTCTCTGTTGGGGCGATACACCTGAGCCAACCACAGCTGCAGCGGCCGGAGTCTGAGACAGGCGAGCCCGACTACGTGTGTGCACGCTGCCATGTGCCCCAAGAGTTGCAGGCAACATCTGGCCGTAGGGAATCGCTGAATGGAGGTCACGGCCTCCTTGATAGCCAGGAATCGCGATACGGGAAGACTTGCCCGTGCCGCCACCGAGTCCAGGACTGCCCCTATGAAGTCCAGCCTCTGTGTGGGGACTAGTGATGACTTGGGCACATTGATCAACAGACCGAGTTCCCGGAATACTTGCAACGCCAGTTCCACATGGGCGCGGACCTCTACCTCCGACCGGCCCGCCAGGAGCCAATCGTCCAGGTACGGGTAGACGCGCATCCGTCTTTTTCGAAGAAAGGCGGCTACCACCGACATGCATTTCGTGAAGACACGTGGGGCTGTTGCCAGGCCGAAGGGCAAGACCGCAAACTGGAAATGACGCTGTTGGATAGTGAAGCGCAGAAAACGCCGGTGGGCCGGGCGAATGGCAATGTGAAAATAGGCGTCTTTCATATCGAGGGCAGCGTACCAATCCCCCGGATCCAGGGAAGGAATGATGGTACCAAGGGAGACCATACGGAAACGCGGTTTTTGCAAGTACTTGTTTAGCTTGCGAAGGTCCAGGATAGGACGGAGGCCCCCTTTCGCTTTGGGGATGAGGAAGTATCTGGAATAGAACCCTCTTCCTCTGAGGTCCAGAGGAACCTCCTCCACCGCCCCCACCTCGAGGAGGGTCTGTACCTCCTGCATGAGGAGTTGCTCGTGAGAGGGGTCCCTGAAGAGGGACGGGGGTGGTGGGTGGGAGGGAGGGGGCGAGGAGAACTGGAGGGCGTAACCTGACTCCACCGTGCGCAGGACCCAACGGTCTGATGTTATATGAGACCATGCACGGAAAAAATGGGACAGGCGGTCCCTGAAACGCAGGGGTGGATCCGGAGAAGAGATGGGTACGCTGTCCTCGATCGCAGCTTCAAAATCCTTGTTTATTTCCCGGCTGCGGCTTGTTTTGGCCCTGGTTTTGGCCTTGGTTAGGCGTATTGTTGCGCCTACGCCTATTGTCCCTGCCCCGTCTACGGTATGGTTCCTGCCGAGGGCGAGGATGGTACTGCCTCTGTGGAGGTTGGGGCTTGAACGGCTTCCTCTGTGTCACAGGGGTGTGCATCCCTAAGGACTTAAGGGTAGCCCGAGAGTCCTTGAGGCTGTGCAGCCTGGCGTCTGTCTGCTCTGAAAATAAGCCCGAACCCTCGAACGGCAGGTCCTGGAGGGTATTTTGTACCTCCGGAGGAAGGCCAGAAGATTGCAGCCATGCAGAGCGTCTCATCACCACACCTGACGCAATTGTTCTAGCGGCTGCGTGGGCAGAGTAAAGTGAGGCTTGTAAAGAGGTTTTGGCCACCGCCTTCCCCTCGTCCACTATGGCCTCAAACTCAGGTTGCGAGCCCTGAGGCAAGGCATCCTTGAACTTGGACACTGATGCCCATGAGTTAAAGTTGTGCCTATTTAGGATCGCTTGCTGGTTTGCTATCCGCAACTGGAGGCCTCCGGACGAATAGACCTTCCTGCCAAATAGGTCTAGTCATTTTGCTTCCTTGGCCTTGGGTGCTGGGGCCTGCTGGCCATGCCTTTCCCGTTCGTTAACCGCTGAGACGACCAACGAACATGGGGTCGGATGGGAGAAGAGAAAGTCAAACCCCTTGGACGGGGCAAAGTACTTTCTTTCTACGCCTTTTGCGGTTGGCGCAGAGGAGGCTGGCGTTTGCCATACGGTCTTATAGTTTGCCTGGACCGTTTTTATGAGCGGGAGTGCGATCCTGGAGGGACCCTCTGGGCTCAGAATGTCCACCATCGGGTCTTCCTGCTCAACCGTCTCCTCTGCTTGTAGTCCCAAATTGAGGGCCACCCGGCGGAGCAGGTCCTGGTGCGCCCGGTGGTCAATAGGGGGAGGGCCGGACACTGTCGTGCCCGCCACGGCTTCGTCCGGCGAGGAGGAGGAGGTCATGGCCTTTTGAGCGTCCTCGTCCTCCTGTAGCTCCTCCTCAGCGGGGCGGTCCTCCGGGGTGCACCCCCTGCCCCGAGTCTGGGACGGTGCCGGGCTCGGTGCCGAGTCCGCCCTCTCTGTGTCTGGTGGTCTGGAGACCGTGGCCTCCGCACGGGAGGTAGGGCGGCACCGTGGGGAGCGGGACCGGTCTCCTGAGGGGCCCGATCTCGAGGTTCTGGACGGAGGGCCTTGCTGATGATAGGCCCACGGCGTCCAGAACGGCCACTGTCCAGGATGGCTCCAATGTGGCTGCCAAGAGGCCTCGTGCTCTCTAGCGGCATGCCCTCTGCGGCCATATCTGGAAAGACCCGAGCCCTCTTCCGATGCTAGGGACGGTGACCTAGAGGGCCACGGCGGTGCCGTGGGGCGGTGCCGGTCCGGTGTCGGGGAGCGGTGCCGTCGGGACCGGGACCATGAGTAGCAGCGTGCCGATCTGGACCTGGAACGGTACCGTTGACCGCGGGACCGGGAGCGGCTGCGGGAGTATGGTCTTGGGAGCCTCGCCATCGAAGCGTCCCGGCGCCTGCTCGAGCCGGGCTGCTGGGGCGGTGCCAGGCTCGCATCGGGCCCTGACTGTTTTGTGGTCCGTTGTGCGGCGGGAAGCCGGGAGTCCACTGAGGCGGAGCTCGACTGGGACCGGCGCCATGAACGGTGCCGAGATGGCGACCGCGACGGGCGCATCATCGCCGGTTTGCCCTTGGATGGCAGTCGCGGCGGAATGTCTGTAGTGCGGAGTGTGCTCTCGGAGGACAATTCAATGAGGTCCTTTGCTGCCTCAAATGTGTCTGGGGTGGAGGGCTGTTCCAACAGTTCCTCCAGCCCATCCTCCTCACTCGACGCGCTTGTCCCGGGGCTCGACGGGCCCTTCGGCGCTGGAGCCACTGGTACCGGGACCTGTATCGGGGCCGTCACGGCCTTGGCCGCACTTGCGGTCTTCGCCGGTGCCGCCTTCTTGTGTGGGGAGCGCCCCCGGGCCTTAGGCTGGCCCTTCGACTTGGCCGGTGAAGAAGATCGATGCCGGGCATGTTCCCGCATTGGCGGTACCGTGGGCTTAGTCTGCGCCGCCGGTGTCGGGTCGCGGACCGATGCCGGGGCACTCCGCACCGAAGTGGACGGTGCCGCGGAAGAGGGGGGCTGTAACGCCGCCTCCATGAGGAGCTGTCTAAGGCGAAATTCTCTCTCTTTTTTAGTTCTGGGCTTGAAGGCCTTACAAATTTTACAGTGCTCCTTCTGGTGAGCTTCCCCGAGGCAACGGAGACACGACTTGTGCGGGTCGCTCACTGGCATAGGCCTGCGGCACGCGGCACACGCCTTAAAGCCTTGGGCGTGCGGCATGCCCCGCCGCCCAGGGCCGGTGCCGGGGTTGACCAAACCCCTATCACCAAGAGATTTTGGTCCTTGGGAAGAACTAATCAACTACTTAACACTAAAACACTTAACTATATTATGAACTGCTAACTATTGCTAATGGCTATGCTAAGGGACACTCTCAGGCGAGAGACAGAGTTGTTCCAACGTCGCCACGGGCGGTAAGAAGGAACTGAGGGAGGGTCGGGCCGGCAGGGGTATATATACGCGAGGGCGGGGCGCCGCTCTGGCGGGAAGGGAGACCCTGCGGGCCCGACGGGAGCCGCTGAGGGAAAAAGTTTCCGACGATTCATGCACGCGGCGCGCGCACACCTAATGTGGAATGGACGTGAACAAGCACTCGAAGAAGAACCAAGGTTATGAAAAAAGTACTAGCTCCACATTAATGTTTGTTAAAACAGTAAGACCTAGGGATTCTCAGCAGGGGTCAGGAAACATGGGTTATGTACCTGTATTAAGTGATCATTTTTCCCTTTTGAAGCTCCCTTTGTCACAGACGTGCAGTATTCTAGCAAAGTGATCTCTACTTCTCTACACAGAGGGGAGCAAAGCACCTAACCCTTTCCTAGAGCAAGCCACCTCTGCACCTGCTATTGTACTCACACAAGGATTGTGGCTAGTTTAATTACTTTCCTCTATGCTGTGAAAACAGATGAAAAGAACACTCTGCAAACGTAAATGTTCATCCTTACATCTCAGTCTTCCAAAGCAACCCATTGGGATGGGGCAAATTTGTACTGGGTATTTTAGAAGCACAGTAGGCCTTACGCAGATTCTAGCTCTGATATTTTATTGGCTCAGAATCTCCTCACTCCATACAGAAGTAAAACTGGAATTATGATTACACAAAATATAGACCTTGAAAATATTTTTTTAAAATATCAGAATTATTTGATTCAAACTGAGCCATATATACAGTACAAGTGAAAACAGTAGACATCAGTGTACTTTAATGGTCAAGAGGTCCATTTTCAGTGCAGAGAGCTAGCTGCATTAACATTAGTGGGAGCTGTATGGAAATGTATATAGTATCAGGCAGTGTCAAAATTATAGGTAGGAATCTAGAGGAAAACTACTTCCCAGTAACTGGATTTCCCACAAGCTAGTATTTTCTATTGTTACACATACATGTCACTATACCCTTGTGTAATGTATAACTTTAGGAGTCAAACCTCTCCAATCATTTAAAAAAAGTGAATACACATGCCTTGGAGGGAACAGAGGAAAATGGCTCATAACTTTATCTCAGCTCCTGTATAGCTACTTGTCTAGCAGCAGTGTAGTGGAGAGGTATCTTAAGTGGAAAAACAGGGAACTACAGGTGCTTTTGCTTTCAGAGAATTCATGTTAATAATAAGTAAATTGGTCCTGCTACTTCCCAAATACACCTCTACCCCGATATAACGCTGTCCTCGGGAGCCAAAAAATCTTACTGCATTATAGGTGAAACCGCGTTATATTGAACTTGCTTTGATACGCGGGAGCACGCAGCCCCGCCCCCCCGGAGCGCTGCTTTACCGCGTTATATCCAAATTTGTGTTATATCGGGTCGCGTTATATCGGAGTAGAGGTGTAAATGGAATTTTTTTGGTGTTCATTTTTAGGCATCCTATTTTCCTGCTTTGGATTTTTCTGTAGTGTTTTTTGTTCTGTCCTTTCCCTCAGTGTGTCTGGAAGGACCAGCTAGTTACAGGATATTATAAGGAGTTTAGACTTTCCTGAAGAAGACACATATAGATACTGTGGACTGATTGGTACCAAATACTGATGCAGGCATTTAACACAGCTGCTGATAGCTGGCTGTTGGAGCAATGGCTCTGCAAATTGTTTGTGTACTCTATTAACATTAGGTATTTTTTTCTCTCTAGGATCAATCTATAGACTACTACTATTTCTACATCAATCTACACATTCAAAGTGATTTACCTAATCAACTAATTACTACCCATACATTTTCTTTGTGTGTCTATTCCCATAAATATTGTCCTCTACTGGACATTACATCACCCATATCTACTCAGGTGTGCTCATGTTATCCTCTGATGACTGCAGCTTGGAGAACAATAAGGAGGGCAAAGAGGGAGAGATATAGAAGAGGGAGGTGAGATGGAAAGAAAAAGGGAGGCTGGGATGGGGAAAAAGCAGAGGTAGGGAGGGGAAAAAGAAAAAAAATAAGATGCAAAGAGTTAGAGGGAGGAAGAGAAGAGAAACAAACAGAAAAGGGCAAAGGTGAATGAGAAGATGGGAAGAAACGACTATTGATGATATCAAACTCACTTACCCATGGACTATCACCAGCTACTCATATACAGTAGTATTACAGCCAAGCATGTAGGGCAAAGGTGGGCTTTTTTTTTTTTGGTATTTTTAATATTTAAAGAATTTGTAATTGGGAGGCAGAGAGATGCTCTGGGGAAGGCATAACATTTCTTAGTTTTTCATGACTTGATTTCTGACCTTCAGCTTTACTCTCCGTGCTTTGGTTTCTCGATCTGTAAATTGGGTAAAATAACTACCACCCAGAGTGTCATGAACATTAATGTTCACCCTGGACTATCCCTTGTTGTTTCCTTAACATTTTATGTACTTATACTGTACACTGTGTTTTACATACACCCTTGCTGTCTTAGGGACTGATCTTGCTGCCCCATATCATGTGAATAGGGATTGCCCCCAACTAACAGCTGCAGGATTGGGCCCTTAAACGATCTTTAGCCTGAGAGATAAAAACATACACTACCACAAATAATGTGTGTACTTTTTAAACTAACTTGGTATCTGAACCTTTGGATATGACTATCCACATCAGGCCTTCCCAGCGTTTCTCTACTATCTCCTTTTTGAGTTAGAACACAAAATTAAATTTCCTGTCAATTAAGTAAAGACAGTATTACTGAGAAGCATTATCTTTCCTCTTATGTCTTATTCCTCATGCCTGCATCACACAGAGGACATATATTCACAATGTAAAAGATGACAGAGATAGCAACTGTATTTGAGTTTTTGTGTACAAAAAAAAAAAATTAATAATAAATAAATAAATAAAATCTCCCCTCCCCCCCCCCCCATTAGCATTGGTGTGTTTCAAGTATGAGACAAGAGTTAATAAAATCTCTCTTTCAAACTATGTAGGCTAAAATTCCCGCTGACATAAAAATGCAGAATAATATAAGCAAGCTGCAAACATACTGGTCCTTCCTTAAGTGAAGCAAGCACTTCATCCCACAGTTTCTGGTTCAGACAGTCTTCTCTTATCAGCCACTGCTGTTGCTGGGTTAGCTGAAAAGCCTCTCCTTTCCCTCCATCTCCCATTCTCATGGTTTTGGATGTGTTTTTAGGCTCCTCTATACCCACTGAAAAATATTATCAGCAGACACAATAAGAGCAGAGTGTTAGTTTGAACTATTAAGAAGGGAACACAAAGCATCTACAAGTCTTAAACAGGAATCTTATTTGTGAAAAACTGTAATAATTTTTTCCTATTCAGCTTTATTCTGGACTGCAGCACAAGGCTACACATAAGACTGTTCATTTTTTTCTTTCTGAAAAAATAGAAAAAGTGTTAGGAATGGAGAGAAAAATTATACAGTATTTTCTTTTCTCGTACAGTTTTATCCTTTCTCCCCTGCCCAGCACTGAACAGGATCCTATGAGGACCAACCTCTCCTTTACATTTAGTTGAACACTTGCTTCACTAACATTTTTTCTTATTTCACATTCTTATCCCAAATGGCTTCCTGTTTTCTCAGCAGTTTTCATATTCTTGACTTTAAATATATACAACTTGACACAACTCTACCTAGTGTCAAAAAAATAAAAAGACATACCATTATCAATTGACCGTTTCTGGTTTCCATTGCTCTGTCTGGTTGGCTCCTGTTTCACAGTTTGCTTTTTAACCTTATCTTTCTTCTCTTTACTAGCCATGGCTTCCAGATAACCTTCTGGATACTAAACAGAAAAACAAAGATTTATTTTTTTAAAAGATAAAACAAAATCTGCTGGAATATGGGGATGTCCATTTCCAAAGAAAACTTCAACCACAAAACCTACACATTGAAATAATTTCAAAGGACTCACATAAGCAAGAAAATGAAGTTACATGTGTAACATCTATTTTTAGGGAATTGTAATTCAGTCATAAAATCTGATGAAGCTTGATGTAAAAGGGACCAATCCAGTGAAAGATATCCATGGCCTTCCAAACTCCACAAACCACAGAGTTAAAGCTGAAGATGCTGATTCTGTGACAAGGTAATCCATCCAAGGAAAAGGTTGGCCTGTTGAGAAAGGCAATACTGCCTTGAATCTTCCCAGCTCCAGAACAGGGAGTTGGCAAAGCTACTTGGGGGGGGAGGGGGGAGGAAACTCATGTGAAATGAGTTTCCAGTTGCCCAGAGGTTCTGCAATCCTGAGAGATTGGCCTCTCTGTGGGAACTCCACAGTCATTGGGTACAAAGTTGGGAAAAATAACAGACACAGGGACATATTTTTTTCAAAGTTATCAGGGGAGATACATTTAAGGCTCCATTTAGCAACAATGAAACAACTCATATGAGTAGTATTTAAAATGAGAAATAGTTGTCCTACCGGGCTCTCAAATAGTGACAAACACATAAAAGCAAGGTAATTCAGTGTTCAGGCCCAAAGCTCCAGCCATAATTCATCCTGCTTTGCCGAAATATTGCAACGTTTTCTAAACTGCTGGAAATCTTAAATATTTTGTGAGCTTACCACAATGAGTATGTGAAGAATGGGGATGGAATTTAACTGACTTTTTTAAAATTAGAATTTAAGTTAGACTCAACTTATTTGAATAAAACGTTGAAACAAGTTTGTGAATTTAGATTCTAACCTGTACATTCAGACCCAATTTCTTTGACCGTTCTATTCCTTCTGAGGTCCAAGGCGCAGGTTCAACATCATCTCTTCTCAGAAGATAACGCCAAACTAAGAATCCACATTTTCCAATTTCTGGCCAATATTTCACCACCTAAATCACAATAGTTCCAGTACTAGTTTATGCATTTTCTCCAACAGCTTATAAAATTGTGTCATACTAGGTCCCCAAATCAAATTCAAGCAAATCTTGCCAGAAGTTGAATGTTCTCACTTCACTGGATTTTCATTATTTTACCATAAACCATCAAACACACATAAATAGTCATACTGTATATAGATCAAAGACAACATAGCAGACTTGATTCATATTATATACACTACAGTTTTAAATCTTCTTTTCCCTCCACTGTCAAATGGTTATTTCGATAAATGTAGAACAGTATGTTCAGTGATATACATTCTTATGCTAGATGCTAGGATTTTAAGAAGTGTGTGAAAGATTTTTTTGAGAGGCGTGGGGTTAAAAAAAAAAAATCAATGGATTCCCAGGGATCAGTTTGGTTCTGTCCATGTTTGTAAAAACAGCTTATCTACTCAGATTGATATATTCTTGTTATTGACTACGTTCTACTACTGTTTTTTTGCTTTGAATACTTTAATTTCAAATAGTCTTCAATACAGAATGAGCTAAGCTACATAATCTTTACTAAGACACCATGATCACTTTCTTCCAATGTAATAATAAAGGCTATGAAACATTAGAATCTGAACAGCATTTTCCTCTTAAAATGCAATAAAGTAGGTAGCAGAAAACTGTGTACCTTATAAATGCCATCATATCTATTGCCTTCCTCGGGGGCGTATTTGCTGATCCTTCGTCCTTTAGAACTGCGCACCACTCGAACTGGTTTACCAGCTCTCCAATTCTTAGACTCTGCTCCATTTTTATCATCCAATGGAGCATCACAGTTTAGGGCCAGTGCCCTAAAAACGTATTAAAAAGTCTTCATATAATATAATGCATCATAAAATATAATGCTCAACATGAATGTGACTAGGTCACGCTTTATTTGCCTTCCCAGATTATGCTTTCACCATCTAGCAGAGGGATAGATAACCAGATTTCTAGTAAAGTCCTCCCCAAGGAAGTGGACTGAGGCCAGAAGTGACCATAGGAGTTTTCTAGCATCCATAATCAGTAACAGCTCTGCCATGCATGACAGCGGGAAAAAATGGAAATGTGGAATTTTGTTTTAAGTGTTCAAGTAGAAAACCTTAGGGATGCTAACAGGCAAAACATGATGGCATGCAAAAAGCTGAACATTATTTATATTTTAGAATAGTTATTTCTCAAATAATGTGGCAGGAATGATAAAATCTGAATGACCAGCTATAGCTAAGGCAAAGTTTATATCTCCCTATTCTTCCTTCCACATCATTTCAGGTTATCAAGATTCTAAAGTGGCATCTTTACCAAAAACAAATAAACAAACAAAAAGTATGGGGAAAAAGTAAAATGTATATAGGAATTAGTATTTTAGCCAATAAACAAACACATGTGAAGATATAAAACCAGTCAAATAGTCACATCTGGAAAAGGTATGCAATAACTGTCCAACAGATCTCAATAACTAAAGCATTACTTTTCTTTGCCTGTGAAACTGCCAAAGAATAGGTACTGTGTGAGCAATAACAATTTTAAGGTTAGGCCACTAGCCATCTACTGGATTTCAGAGCTCAGGCTCCAGCCCGAGCGGGAATGTCTGTACTGCTATTTTTAGCTCTGTACCACAACCCCACGTCAGTTGACCCAGGCTCTGCAACTCACTGCCATGGGTTGTTTTTTTTTTTTTTTTTTGCTGTGCAGATGTACCCGATGAATAATACTTTGAAAATTTTTCATTATCTCAGGGTGAGAACCTACAGAAAATAAACTAGTTTTCCCGTAAAGAATTCATCACTGTTTGAACTCTAACGAAGTTTACTAATAGATGTTTGCCCAGGACTTCTTGGCCACGCCTTCACAGTTTATTTGTTTGGTTTGATCAGCGGCTGTGCATTAACACTTTGCTAGTTTGCTTTGGTCAAGTCTCATGTCAAAGAGGACTAGATCAAAGCATACTAATGAATTGTTAACAAATGGCAGCAGAGTCCATAACGTTATTGTGACCAGTGAGAAATTATATATTTTTTACTTTGCCTCTGCCATTAATTATGCATTATTTTACTGCGACAAAATTGTATCAATTGTCATAGTATGAGGTTAATGTTGAAGAGCACAACTCACTTGGAATATCTTTTTAAAAAATAGTTTGTAACCTATTAGCAGCCTGTTCATTAATTATTATTATCTAAGTGCACCCTAGCCATGAAGACTACAATTTGTCTTAATTGCAAGTCACTGTAGCTGAACTATATCAAATTCTTGAGACCAAGTTTTCAGAAAGAGTATCTACGTGCAAAAAAGTCATGCACTGCTATGCGTACAAAAAGTTTGTGATCAAATGGTGGCTGTTCAGATATCTAAGTTGCCTAATGCATGAACCTAAGTCGTCTTGTTCTGAAAATTTGGTCCCTTATGTTTAATCACCAGAGAAGTCAGGTTAACACTCAGAAAAGAAATATGGTGGAATTTCCCATATGAACTACTATCTTATTAAATTCAGAAGATGCCTTTTGAGGAGATGCAAAATGAAGCTTCTCAGTGACTTTAGGTCATGTATTCATATACAGGCGAATGTACAGGATTGGATACTGATCCCCTTTCCTGAATAACTCTGCCTAATCTTGTCCCAAAAACTGGTCATATGTTATTTGACTTTCTTCTGTACATAATAAACATGCAGCCATGTTCTGTGAAAAATTGCAATACTTCAGTTTGGGAACCTGGAATACTTAAAAGAAATCTACTTATATGAACACTGACTAGCAAAACACAGATAGATGAAATTCCGTCTTTACAAGAATATCTGGATCATCATCGCTTTAATGAGGAGTCCAGGGATAAGGGCTGACCATTTAAATGCATTGCTGTACTTTGGAAAAACTGATGAATCATCAAAAAGCAGAAATGTTTTTTGTTAAAATCACAGTTAGTAGGCTTCTCTTTCTTCTTCAATGCAAAAAGAAATGTTTCTGGATGTACTGATTAAATGACAGAGATCCTTCACATTGAGTTTTGGTGGAGATATTAAAAGGCTAATGTGAAAAAGTGCAGTTAAAGAACAAGTGAAAGCATTTAATGAAATCACTCAGGAGAGCTATAACAGATCTGTTCTCCTGCTTGCGAATGAAAATCAGCTGACAGGGCACTGATGCACTTCATCAGAGATGATGTCATCAGAAATTCCTTTATTACCCTGTGCTGGTTGGGGAAAGAATTATCATGTTGCCTGGAATCCTATGTAAATAAGGTAAAGAATGGTTGTGAATTCTAAGGAATTTTGT